TTTTATGATTTTTAAAATACAAAATTAATTGCAAAATAAATTATAGCACAAAAGTCTGCGCGAGGCGCAAAGGATTAATTTTAATTACATTTACAATTTAAAAATAAAAATTATTATGCACAAATAAATTTTCCCAAATATATCTGTTTTTATATTCACAAAATTTATTAAGATTAACATTATAGGGGGGAAGACAAGTAAAATTTTTTTTTAATGAATTTGTCCTATGTAAAAATATAAAAGAGATTATCTCTCTAATGTTTACAAGAAATGTTCTCAAAATGCTAATCACGTTTTTCGTGTAATAAAACTGCGAACATTTTCAAAAAAATTTCTGGATTTCTTTGAATGTCTTGACAGACAACTAAGATTTCTGAAATACATCATCTATCTTAATGTGAAGAACACTAAGTTCTTAGGATTATATCACCACATGGTGATATAATCCTGTACAATTTATTTTACATGGTAAGAAAAAAGTCTAACGAATTCAAATCGAAAGGTCAAGATGACAAAGCAAATTAATAAAATAATATTATAAAGTATATGTCAAAAGTAGAGGACGTATAAAATATTCTGGTAAACAAAAACTGAAAAATAAAAACATAAGTATGTAAAATAATTCTTTCGCGTTTTTTATCGCGTACGATAAGTAGAAGCAAGCTAATCCCCCTTCCCACAATTATTTAAATAAAAAGAATGCATTTATTTCATAGATTGTAAACTTAGAGTTTGATTTATATTGTTTTATTCTAATCTACAATACTTGAAAGAGTTTTATGAAATAGCATCCGCGACAAATATACAGAAAATATTTACAAATTATAATATATTATATATCTCTTTACACTTTACACTGTAGATTGTGTGTTTAATAATTTTTTCTTCAAGTATTTTTTAAAATTTTATTTTCTCGACTATATTTCTTGAATCTCTTAAGGTCAAAAGTTTACTATACAGATTGTTCCAGAATTATTAATACTGTAATAAAATAAAAATAAAAGAAAATAAAATAAAGAATAAATGCGACATAATATGATTTATGATATTATCTTTTTGTATAATAAATACAAAATTGATGAAATTAATATAAAGCTGGCATATTCTTGTCATGAAATTTATAAATAATTAAGAACTTTGACTTTATCTTTACTAATTATATAATTCCTGATTGTTTAAACAAATAGTTTTTGCTCTTGAATAAAAAAATGCCTCAAATGAACTGAGATGCTAAGTGAGCGAACGTTTTATTTCATTTTACGAAAATTTCTGTATAATTTTCCATAGAACTTTAAGAAATACTAGATTTATACAGATTTACATAAAACGGTTGTTTAAAAGCAAAAATTTTAATTAAAATATAATATAGCGATGAGAGTAAATGTATGATTATAGACATATCAAGACGAAAAACTGATACTGTCAAAAACATCATTCTTTTTAAATAATTTCCGTGTAATTTTATAATTATTTATATATTTTATCACAAACCTTAATAAAAAGAAAATAGAATTGAAAATTTTTTAAACGGTTTATGTCAGAGAGAAAGCTATATCTACGCACATCTACGGTGAGATGCTGACCGATTTTAAACAGTTCCGTGTCTATTTATGCATTTTCTCTCTTAATTATTTATGAGTTTTCTCATTAAATGATCTATCAGTTTTATGTTTTATATGGTCGGAATACAAAGAAGTAATCACATTTTGCATAGAGAATTTAAAAATTAATTGAGATATTGCACGAAATAAAAATAAATTATAAATTTATTATATAATAAACAAGACATCTTATTTATTTTTATTTATTCTATTTCACAAACAAACGATTGCACTTATTTTTATAAGAATAATTTTAAAAATTTTTTTAGCAGAAAATCAAGATTTCTTCAAATATTTATATACATTTCAAAAATAAATATAAAATGCCTATGTGTTGTGATTCTACAAAGTATTTTGATTTTATTATATTCTGGAACAGTCTGGTACGTTTTCGCAATCCAATCTACCGTTCTCTAAAAAGAAAAGAGAAGAATACACGTTCACGTGGCGTGATGCATGTATAAAAATACTTTGCCGAGCCAATGAAATATAGATTTGTATTTGTAGAAGTGTATGCGTAATAGCACTAATACATAATAGTCGATGACGAATACGTTCGTTAGTTAAGAAAGCGGATATGACTGATAAATTTCCATCACTGATAAAATTCTCACAAATATATATATATATATATGAATAATATGAATACGAAATGTCTTTTTTAATTACTAGTTTTTTCGATTAATTTCAAAACAATTTTTATGTAGCAAAAATCTTAGAAAAATTTATTGCATGCAATTTCAATTTTTTGTTTTTTCGCATTTTATATTTTTTCTGTAATTAAAATTTATGTAATTAAAAGCTATATATTTTTTTAAACCGATTAAAATATAAAAAGATTATAATCTTATGTACATTATCATCGATCTTTTCAAATATATTAGCTTGTTTAATAACGATGACTTATTTTCTATCATCAATTACTCAAAGATTATAAATATCTTGATGTTGCATTAAAAAAAGTTGATTTTAGATCGATTGTAAAAAATCTATATATACAAAAATATCCTACAATATATGGATATCCTTAACATACTTGATCATTATATTTTTGCAAGTAAATTCCAAATAATTCTCAAGTATTATAGATTAGAATAAAGTAGGACATTATAAAAAATTGATGTAGAATATGACTAATACTAAATATGCTTTTTTTTATATTTATTAAATAAATAATTCTTAAAAGTGACTAAAACTCGAAAATTCTTTTCCTAAGAAGATCTGCCTTAATTTTTCTATAGAAAATTCTATCGCGTATAAGAAATGAAAATCCGTAAATGTTTTCGTGGATATATATATACGCGTAAAATGACGCGTTTACGCCGTATGTTTTTTTAAATTTTCATAGGACACGCAATATAAAGGTACGCAGAACCGAAAGGTGTCTCCCACAGATCGATATAACGCATGGCGGAAGGTGATTTTAACCCATGATGTCATACAGAAGCCATACAGAATGATACGATTATCGGTTAACAAGACAATATTGTGCAATAATATCACGACCTCATAATCTAAAATTATACTGGTATATAGAATACCTATATTAAACTGTTGGTATACAGAAAATTCCTCGAGAGAAAATTGACGTTTTAATCTCTCTAAAGGGGAGTTAATTTATTATTATCATATGTGAATGCGAGCTGCAGTCATGATGAAAAAAAATGTGAATAAAATAATAAAATGTTTTCCTACTTATGACGCATAAATTGGTCGCGACTTATTTTCACCGATCGGACACGTCGATTACATCTGAATTAATTGCTTCGTAACTAGATATACGAAGTTATTGCTTTTGTCAACAGTTTTCTACGCGTTTCTCGCGGATTCCATTATTCCTTGGTGGTTAAGTAGAGCGTAGCATTATGTAGGGAAAAAATATATGCAGGTTACTGCTATTTTTATAAGAATCGCGCATAGAACGAAAGATAGGTGAGCAAGTATCACGTCAATGGCATGCTGTAACCAAGCGGAAGCGCTTCCAAGCATGGTCGAGTTTGTGCATCGCCACTAAATTAATTAGCATTTTCTTGTCAGAACTCTTTCGTGAATATTAAATACCATATGGCAATCATGCGAAAGCATATTCAGATATTCGTGCTATATAATAATTTACTTCTATTGATATATCGTCAAATTTCACGTATTTTTCAAATTGTTGCTTGACGCGAAAACTTTTCCTATTTTTGCAATAATATTTTTGAGACCGTGTTAATCAAAGTTTTCTTAGAATCGATTAACTCTAAAAAATATTTATAAGGATAAGGATTCATAAGGATTCATTATAAAATCAGATAAGAATTAGCATATTAATTAATTAATATCCCAAACAAGTTTAATATGAATATATTAGCCTTAATACTTGATATTTAAATATAATCACTGGCTGGGAAAATGTTTGTTTTAATTTGTCATTTTCTGATTTCAAATCTTTAAATTGCTTCACTTCTTTCTTCATTTCCTTTCCCGTTTCATTTCCTCTCATTTATATTCTATTTATTCTATACTCTCTTTTATTCAATACATATCACACCTACATTTCATTATTGTAAGAATTAATTTATTCAACTGTAATTTATTAGACACTTCAATTTTTCAATTTCAGCAAATTCAGTAACAATTTATTCTACTTCTATTCTAGCGTATAAATGGTATAATTTACGCGCTATTATAATTGTAAATTACTTGTAATAAATGTGTTGTATAATAGGATCAAAAAAGATTAATTACTGAAAAGTAGAAAGATTAAAAACTACTTTGCTTTCAGTTTTTACAATATGTTTGAAATCTTATTGATTGAAAAAAAATTTATAATGTGCAGACAAAAATTCAAAGATTACATAATTAGTGAAGAGAATTGCATCATAAATTTAAAATATTATATATCAAATAAAAAATGAAATGATGTGATTCTTTAACAGAAATATGAAAAAAATTACATTATTTTATATCTTTAATAAAATCTCTAATTGTAAGTATTGTGTATTAGAGAAAAATAATTTTTAAATATTTTGAGTTTCTTAACTCAAGATGCACTTCAACAAAAATTAAGAAATAAGATATGCAATTTAAATATATTTCATTCGTGTATTTCATATATGTTATAAAATATATTAGGTACCTATATATTTTGTTTCTATATTAGGTAGGCAATCAATTGCACAAATGGATGCAATATATTACAGATCTCGTATTTGAATATTTAATTTTTTCCTTTTTGTCAATCAAATATTTCGAGTACAATAAGACTCCTAAAAAAATCCCAAAAAGTTTCTATAGAGAAAAGAACCAAAGAAAACAATCTCTCAGCCAGTAATGACCTCATCGTCACAGCCTTGCGTCTACAAATTCCCGAGCATGTATCCTTGAGTATAAAAAAAGATGAGCTCTCGCACTCACCTAATCCCATGTCTCGGAAAATCTCCTTCGGGGCGATCTCGATCTCCTGCTTCTTGTTGTCGAGCGGACGACGAGGTTTGAACTCGGGTTCCTTAGGTCTCGGCACTTCGCGCCGTTTGACACCGATGCTCTCGTGCTCCGAATCGGCGGCGATTCGCGGTTGCGGCTGCGGCTGCGGAGCTGACGGCTTGCTGACAGCCTCCGTGATCAGGAAGTCGTTCGACATCTCGTACTTGTCCTGCCGCGCACTAGGTGTATCCTCAAACTCAGCCTCCTTCGGCAAGGGCGGCAGTGGCTTCGTGGGTGGCTCGAGATCCTTTCCCGCCTGTTCGCGCTTCACGTCCGTCTTCTCCACGACGTTCCACGAGTCGTCGTCCATAATGTTCCTGGCGAGGTTCTCCTTGACGGACGGCGGATCGTCGTCCCCGAGGAAGTCCAACACCGGGGACCTCTCCGCCGTAGGCAGCACGGACGATCTGACGTCTCCTCCTCGAAGCGGTTCCTCCTCGAAGTCGATCGCTTCGTCCTGTCGATGCGTCCACTTGCCTTGATCGATCCCCAGATTCAGGATGTCCTCGCGTTCCTCGAAGGGCTGGCTCTCGCTCTCGCTTTTCGTCGTCGACGAGAACAGGAGGTCGTCAGCTGTCGCGGTCGAGCTCGGTAACAACGGCACCTGAAGCCCCAGCTTCTTGCTATCCTCGTCCTCGTCCTCGTTGTCGTTGTCGTGGTCGTCGTCGTCGTCGTCATCCCGAAATTGATGCGCGGGAGGCGGATAGGTCCTCTCGGTCTCGACGAACGCCATGCTGGCGAATTTGGGATCGACCGGGTCCAGCGGCCGCTGGAAGATGTCCGACGACTGCGCCATGGCCTCGCACTTGTCAAAATCCGCGGAAGGCGGCGGCGTCGCGGGCACGGGCTTCGTCTCAACGTCGACGAGCGCGCTCGGTAGGACCGGGTCCGATCCCTGGAAGGAGTCGCCGATGTGCAGGAGATCGTCGACACGTGGCGCGTCGATCAGTCGTAGCGGCTGCTGCTGATGGTGATAATGATCCGAACGATCGTCCGGGGAACCGTCGTGGCCGAGATGCTCGAAATCGTCGACGGAATCGTGATCCCTCTTGAGATCGTCACTCTGGATCCGTTCCGGGTCCATCCTCGGACGCGATCGCTGTTGGGATCCGCTGGGCGCGTTCGACAAACTCCGATCACTCGATGACTCACTCACCGACCGAGCTCGGGGCTCTGGCTGATTAAAAGGCTTATTCTCACGGGATCCCCCTGGCACACCAACAACGCTTGCTTGTGCGCGGAATGTTTGCGCGACGCTCCCTACGCACTCATAAAAGCCAGGTACGAGGAGAGAGCGGTACTACTCCCACCTGCCGTCGTCTTCTGTCGTTGCTCGCCGTCGCGGGTACCTCAGTGGGGCACATCCGACGTCCTTGCTGTCCTGACCGCGTCCTCGTTTCGTCGAGAGATTCGCGGGAGATGACTCGTCCCGGAAGTGACGAGTCGAGGCCTCGACTTGGCAAACAATCCGCTCCTCGTCCACCGGACGATGACAACGAGTATATGGAATTGGACGAATTGGGAAGACTCGCACTACGGGTGTTGCCCTCGAAGCGCGGCGCCAAGTAAAGCCGAGTTTGTAACATTCGGTTACGACGGCTCGGGTGGATTCAGCGAGCCGCGCTCTCGCTCCCCATCGAAGGCGAAGGGTCTGTCGCCCTCTCCGGCTGACGCGGACCAATCCTGTAGCCGTTACCGTCCCCACTCAGTTAGTTCGAGCTGCTTGAAGTAAGCCGTCTTTGTCTCCGATTGTTACCGGTCGTGTCTGTTGTGTCAGCCGGCCGGCTGTCCGCTCGTCAGCTGATCGGTGCGATTGTATCGATATAGACTTCGAGGCGCGAAACTTATATGATAGGTGCTGTTTCCCGAACTGGTGCACGAGAATCTTTCATCTTTCGAATTGGCGCAGCTAATGTAGAGAAGAGGGGAGAATTGGAAGAGAGGAATTGGTATATAAATTTATGGATGAGATTATTCTCTTATTAATTACCAGTTTATGGTTTGATGGATAAATCATTCATTCTTGTCATCCTGAAATTGAAATTGAAAGAAGACTTCTTGGCACGTTTTTGCTCCGTGATTTTGGAGTCGGGGCGGAAAGTGGGATGGTGATTCTGCAAAATCGAAGAATGACTTCATGATTTATTTTCTGATCGTTCTATAAATTTATATCAGATCATGATCTAAATTTAAATTTCTCTTTCTCTGAATTCTATTCATTTTTTATGCGTGAGACAAGCAAAAGGTCTTGAATAAATGGATTAAAAATCTATTTTGCATTTCTCGTACTTGGAATTTTATTTAAAATGCGAAAAGCAATGCGCTGATACGCGTAAAAACGCCCAACTGACGGAAACAGAATACATATACATTTTTTATCATTCGCAATTTTTTTTACATTAGCCTAACGTTGAACGGAAGAATAATATAGGTTATACATATTTAAACTGTTTCTCTTTGTATGCGCTTTCTACGTATATGTTTTATGCAACTTTCGTCCTTCTTTTTCCCCTCCAACGACGCGAATATCTTTTTACCGTCACATTTTTTTATCGAGTTTTCATTTATCATAAATTTTTTCAATTTTGTTATTCACATTTAATCGCCAATAAATTCAATTTCCCGAAGAGTCGAAGTATCTTCTCAGACTTTTATTACTTTATTTACATTTTTTTATATCTTTTCACACAGAAATCTGGAATAATAATTAAATCACGCATCGGAGTTGGATACAAGAAGAGGTGTATATATATATATCTATAAAAGCAGGAGAAAAGGACGAAAGGATTCAAGAGCGTGACCTGTTTTCCTGAAGACTCTGCAGGAGCCGAAGAGAGAGGGTATACAGCTGGACGTAGTGCGGCGTGCGGCACAAATAAAAGCTTTCGGCCGCAGGGCGTCGCAGAACGACGCGACGCGGCACAGGAAAGGAGAGATCTTCGCGCAGGCGCCGACGTGTATTACTACGACCGGACGTACAGCGGTGGTGTGAGTAGTGAGCGACGAGTGGCGGCGATCGTCTCTCCGTTGTCCGGCTCTCTACACTCGCCTCGAGCGTGGACTCATCATCAACATCATCATCGCCCGTCATTGTCATCGTCAAATCGGAGCAAGTGCGGAACCAATACGCGCGGCGCGATGATGACGACGAGGACGACCACGAGGTTGCGCGCGGTCAACACGTGCGGCGAGGACGAGGAGAAGAGGTCGACGTCGACGACGACGACGCCGCCGTCGTCGTCGTCGATGCGGAACGGTTTGACGTCGCGCGAGGACCCCGGCAAGATGAATGGTTACATCTTGAAGAGCAACGGCCACGTAGACGTAAGTTAGCCGGGCGGGAAAAACAGCCCTTCATCCTCGAGATATGTGTTGTTGCTCGATTAGCCCCCGAGATCTCACCTAGTCGTCCGATCTGATCTCTAGAATTGGCGTGTATGAAATCTCGTGTGTGCGTCTCGCTCTTTCTCTCGCTCTCTTTTCTCGTTCAATTCTCAGCATCCAGTCGTGCATGTATCATCTCATTCTCTTCGGACACTTGCGAGTCACATGGTAATAGAGATCGTTTTTATTGCTTATTATATTCATTTGCGCATACTCAAGTCTCTTGTCTAAATAAAATGCAGTTTTTTCTATGATGATATCTATAAGGAAACGTCGAATTGTATAAATTATGTTGAGCTTGATCAAGTTGAGACAAGAAAAACGTGTTACATAAATTTAACATGAAGAAACATTATTCTTATCAGAATAATCACCATTATCTGTACATTTGTTTCTTTAGAAGGACGGTTTTTCTATGTTCTTCTTTAAACAAAATCAGTTTAGCAAATTTATATTTAAATTTAAAGTGAGAATTGATAATACATGCCTCGCCGATAAGGACTTATTTTTTCGCTTGTTGAAATGTCAAAAGTTAAACTTTTCAGATATGTAGAAAACAGACATTATTGCTTTTGATGACACAATTATTTTTAGAAACACAAATTTAATTAATATCATTTAAATATGTTTTATTTAAATTAAATACGTTTAATTTAAATATGAAGTCAATTTAAATTAAACAATTCTATGTGCGACTAACATTTTACGTGCTAGTTTTGAAACTATGACAAAAACTCGTAAAAGTTAGCGCGAGTTGAGAAAATAAAAAATTTATTCTTTAGGGATCAATTATACTTATCGCAAGTATCGGATAAATAACTAGATAGGATAGTATAAACGTATTATATAATAATATAAGATAATATAAAAAGCTAAAGATAAAAACTAATGTAAAATAAATAAGTTCAGTTATATTATTTTTATTTATTCCTAATTTTGCACTCCCTACTACTGTCTTTTGCTTATCACCAGAACACATGTACTCGATCGTCATTGAAATCGCAATCTTTTATAAATGAGAGAATTTCTTGATATCATTTAATTTTATAATATCGATTATCTCTGGAGATATTGAAAAGCGAATAAATATATATATATATACGTTTTTGTGTATATATAAATAAAAGAAAATTTATTTGTAGCAACTTGTATATACAAGCCGAGTATACGAATTTCTTACATTACAATAAATATAATGAACAAAATTCACAATTAAAGAGAGAAAATGATATATTTTATACAATATATATATATGCTCAATGTATATTTAAGCTATACAAGATATTTATATAGTATCGATTTGCTGCAAAGTAATCCAAGTATTGTTTCTCTTTTTGTTTAAAAAAAAATCTGATTAAAAAATGCGAATGACACACTTAGTGTCTCTTTAGATGAAGTAATACTCTTTAAGATACGACCTCGAGATTCCCACTTGCCCTTTTACATTCAAACTCTGAATTGCTAATAAATGATTCAGTCGTACGGAAATCGCTATCAGTACTCTAATCAACATTAGAGATTACGAGGACAGCTAAATATCTCTTATTTCGCGTTCCAATAACTGATAAAAAAAGATAACGTATATATCGCTATTTTATGGTATAATTGTTTCAAACGCGAAAAGAGTATAAAATTTCTCTCTCTTTCATTGTGAGAAAAATTTGTTCGAATATATTTTACAATCAGTTTGTAGTTTTGCAATAGTTGAATAAGAATGAGTAGTGAGAAATGAAAAATATGATATAAATGATAAAATGATAAGCTTTTTTAGGATATTGCATGTAAAAACTGGTCTCATTTAGCATTATTAAGCATTATTTAAACTATATGCATTTAATGGCCTCATGATTGAGTAATCAAGCAAATCTTTTGCATAAATCTAAGTCTTCAGCAAAACGTGAAACTAACTATGTGCCATTTTTCGCACACCTCATTCTTCGCATTTCTTTGTAAACTGATCACAATAGTGAGAACGTTAAAATATTTTAGCACTCGAGTATTTTCCAAACAGTCTAACATATAAAATTTATGTTATTTACAGAAATGCTCCAAATCCATATTATAAAATATTGAGCTTTTCATTTGAAAGATTATTTTTCATTAACAAAACTTCATAAATTGCTAATCATTGCTAATTTTTTTTTTTCATTGTTAATAATCATTACTAATTTTTCATATTTATATTGTAAGTAAGTGTTAAAATTATATCGAAATATATAAAGGTATGTATGAAGGTATGCGTTTCGAGAATAAAAATGAAATACGATCGCAAGCTTATACTGCGAATCGTGCTTTAATCGTATCGCAGCGCAGACATAACTCTCTCTTTGATAAAGCAAAGATTATAAAATGATAATCCGGTTCCTTATTCAATCTTAATACTGATTATTTTTTCACTTATTTTCTTCAAAACTTATCATACTCTGAATCATCATTTTCTTATAATACGATATGCAGGAAATAATAATCTTTTTTTTTTTTCAGCTGCGTCATTTCACATATCGTTTTTACTACATTCTTTTATTTATATATACATATATTATATAAAAGAATCTTCTGTTTGTTTATGCAATTAAATGTGCGAATTTTTTTTGCAGTTTTCTCATAGTCCCAAAAAAAAGAAATTACAAAATTCACAGTCAAAAGAGTCTTTCGAAAAAGTACCGTTCATCACAGCGGCACTCACACACCTCGGTTTTTATATTCTCATGTTCCTGGGATTTATCAATCAATTATTCTTTGTTCCGAAGGTTGCTACTGAAAAAAATAGAGAGGTACGATGATAATTTTAAATTTCTTATGTTAATTCAAACTAATATATATTTATAAATATAAGTAATAGAGAAAAAACATAAATATATAATAAAAAAGCTTTGAATTATAAAAAAAAATATTTTCTTTGACAATCAGTATATTAAAGTATTCTCTTATGAATTTCGCACGAGTAAATATAATGAAATTGTTATACGTCATCAACGTATAGGAATTGCAAAATGATATGTACGGCTTATTCTCTTTTATTTAAGATAGAAAATATTTTTTTGTTACATAATTTCATATTAATATCTTCTTTGTATGCCAATAATTATTGTTTTTTCTATAGATACTTATATAACAAATATATGTTTCTGTACGATATATGTACAATATTACATTTTTTTATAAAACATTTATAATTTTTGATGTAACATCGACATGCTATCTTGAAATAAATATGTATTTATGTGTATTTATAGGGATATGCGCCGCTGTATGACAATTTTGAAAAATTTTATCTTAGATATGTATACAGAAGAGTCAGAGATTGTTGGAATAGGCCGATATGTTCTGTACCTGGTGCAATGGTGACATTAAAAGATCGGATCACCAATGATTACGGATGGACGTTTCAGTAAGTTTCATTATGTTCGCACGAAAAAACATTACGTATCAATAGAATTGAAAACTCGAATTTTTAATTCTGACAGATTTACTGGAACTGAAACGCCATGTATAAACTTGGGCTCTTACAATTATTTAGGGTTTGCAGAGGCTAGTGGTAAGTGCGCTGAGAAAAGCATCGAAACGCTCAAGAAGTTTGGCTGTGCCACTGGCAGTACGCGTCTTGAATTAGGTAAATAACTAAAAAGAGATGTTCTTATATCATATTTTCTCATAGAAAAAAGATGGACAAAATATTTGTAATTTGTTCAAAAATATAGTTGATTATATTATCATAAGAAAGCATAAGATGAAAAATTGATCAAAAATTTGAAAGACAATTTCTCTCTTTTCTGTTTATTATTGATATTAAAAAAATTTAAATTAATGCCTCTTTTAACAAGATCATTTTATTACTATTCGTATGACAAGTACGTAAAATAATAAGAACTTTACTATTTCTTTTTTATAATTTAATGTTACTGACTTTATTGAAAAATGTCATATATTATATTTTTTTGAACGAGATTATATATACGTATGTATGTATGTATTTATTTCAAAAAGAAATAGAAGTATCATATTTTATTATTCAAAGGGACTATGCCAATACACGATGAACTAGAAAAATTAACTGCGAAATTTCTGGGAGTCGAAGATGCTATAGTATTCGGGATGGGATTCGCAACGAATTCTTTAAATTTGCCCTCTTTGGTCAACAAGGGTTGTTTAGTTCTTAGTGATGAAAAAAATCACGCATCGCTTATACTTGGATTGCGACTATCTGGTGCAGTGATACAGATCTTCAAACATAACAGTAAATACAAAACGCAATAGTCACATTTACAATGCGCATAATTATTTTTTGTTACTCTTAGAGTACAAAGAAGTCATGGTTTATCGCAGATGTGAAACACTTGGAGGAATGTTTGAAAAAGGCTATTGTTTTCGGACAGCCGAAGACAGGCGAACCTTGGAAAAAGATAGTTATTATTGTTGAAGGCGTTTACTCTATGGAGGGCTCAATCGTTCATCTACCCGAAATAGTAGAATTAAAAAAAAATACAAAGTTCGTAAAAAAACAATATCATAATTTTCTTTTTTTTTTTTTAATTTAAATCTCTTTACGATTACTAATATTTTTTTTATTAAATAGGCCTACCTTTACGTGGACGAAGCGCACAGCACAGGTGCTATGGGAAAGCACGGAAGAGGAGTTTGCGATTATTACGGCGTCGATCCGCGTGAAATCGATATCCTCATGGGAACGTTTACAAAAAGCTTTGCCTCGGCCGGTGGATATATAGCTGGAACAAAAGTAATATATATTTTTAATGCAGTATCTTTGAATTAATTTAGTAATGTTTAACATTTGCAAACATCGGTATTTGAACAAATGTTTTTTTCCATTTTCAGACATTGATAAATCATATAAGGATACATAGTCACGCGCATACGTATGCGGCATCGATGTCACCGCCAGTTACGCAACAAATTATCACGTCGATGCAAATTATTATGGGAGAAGATGGCACCGATAATGGTGAAAAACGTATCAAACAATTAGCTAGAAATACAAGATATTTTAGACGCAGATTACATCAAATCGGAGTTATAATCTATGGAAATGAGGATTCGCCTGTTGTGCCTATGCTAGTTTATCTATTTTCTAAGATTGGGTAAGTTGATAGAGAATACATTATATTACATTAATATTTATATAATATTTTCAAAACTTATTTCCAAAATCTTATAACCCGCGTGACGTTTTTGATAAACAAGATATGATAAAATTAATACAATATAAACTTTATGTAAGAAAATATTTTTGTAATATTTTCGACACAGTGCAGTGATCCGTACACTGACCACGCGTAACATTGCAACCGTCGGTGTTGGTTTCCCAGCATCGCCATTAATGCAAGGCAGAATTAGATTTTGTCTTTCTGCTGCGCACACAAAGGAACAGCTCGATTATGTAAGTGTAAGCACTATACTAAATCGAAAAGCTTGTTATTTTAATGTCAACATTTTTATGTATTTTAGGTACTGTCGCATATTGAAGATATCGCAAATAGATTAGGATTAAGATATTCGAAAAAACCTCGTGTTCCGACGAAAATAGAATATTATTCCGACAACGAAACGGAATGACCTACCTCATGAAATAATAAATCGTTAAGCAATTTATTTCTGGGGAGAATAAATTGACATAAGAGCTTTAAATGCCACAAAATAAATATAGATACGATGCATTTTGTTCATATGTTAAATAAGAAGACTATTACAATTATTATAACAAAAGCTTGTACTTTTACAATAATTTAAAAAAATGCGAATGCATTAATACTTGTAATGGTTCATACGCTTGTAGCAAAATGATGATTCATATGTTGAGCAAACTCGATAGTATCAAATGCCTATGTTAACAAATTATATTGTATATATTGTTAACTTTATTGTTTGCAAATTCTTACAGTATTCATACATAGTTAATTATATATTTTAAAAAAACATTCAATTTTAAAATCGCGTTAAAATACCAAGGTTTAATATAAATGTCACAAATAGCAGGGCTCATACACAGAATTTTTTATTTTGGCTGCTTGTATTTGCAAACGTATTTTACACCATTGTAATATCACTTATTTGCCTCGCTCAAATTAACTCATTTATTTCATTTATATTGTGCTATATAATGAAAATAGTCTATAGACAGAAACATCTACAAGTCTGAATATGTAATGAATAAGTCCACGCACTCTGTGTATTCCTTATTATAGTTCTAATTATAATTATTCATACTTTTACAACATTGAAAAACTGTTTTAGAACGCAGTTTGCTTTCAATTATTTAAAAAATGCTTTTATATAAAAACAATTTGGTGCATATTTGTTACATTCCATTAATTTTCCAAGTAATTTAGTAACTCAGTTATATCATCATATAACTCAATTGCACAATTGCTTTAAAATATAATCACTTCAATCTTAAGAATAACTTTTTGTAGACAAATGCAAATTGTCTTTGAATCATTAATGTAACATGATTGATTGTAGTAATTAAAACAAAGAACTAATTATTATTATTAGAGATTTCAAAATTCAGTAAAATTGATAGGCAAATTTTTCACTCTTAAATTTAAGTAAATGTCACACCTACACAACACACACGCATATCAATACTATATTTTTATCGCTAAGTGAACATTTAATATTTATCTTTAAAATAGCTTTTTAAAATTTTGGTACTTGACATACTTTTATTACAACAAAATACAAACTTTTTTTATAACAAGATTTTTTTTGTACAAATTTTAAATGAAAGATAATACGTAATATTGATGATGAACGATGGAACAATAAAAGTATCTCAAATCACTTTATTGAATCATTTTCAATCGATCATGATCAAAAGGCGTCGATTAAAACTTCATTTTTATTTTATTAAATGTACTGCCATCATTATGATCTCTTAGTATTTATGAAAACACAGAATGACTGATAGATCAAATGATATTAGAATATAACATGAAAGATCCAATTATATTTTAATCAGTATACATAATTGCAAAAGAAAAAAAATTAGATATAAAAAGAAACGAGCAAGACAAATTTTAATTCTCATACATATATCCAATACAAAATATGTCAAATTTCTTATTATTGGATCTTTAATTTAAATAATTTATATTAAAATATTTGAATAATTTAAAATAAAAGGAAAACAAAAACAAATTCACATTTTGGACAAAACCAAAATTATTAAGTTGTTTAATTGATTTATAATATGGGATACTGTTTAAAAGCAAAATTCAAGAAAAACTTGAACGAAAATAGTATTTACTATAAAAAGGAATCCTAAACTTTTGCTTGTTTCTTTCTCATTATCATATATATCACTTAATTGCTATTTTACATATTATATATAAATTCAGGATCATAAAATATTCATTCCGTAACAAATTCAAGGTTAAAGCTTAAATATGTTCAATCGGGAAATACTCAGCGTTAAATATCATCATATCAAATAAAAAAAGCATAACTGTGTATATTAATATTGAGTAAATTTGAACATTATGTATTTATATGCAGAAGTACTTTAGATCTTTTATAACTAAAACTAAATTTTGGCATAGTATCATGAATATATAGAATAGATTATCTAAAAGTATCTTGTTAAATAATTAGAACGATAAAATCTTCACATTTAAGTGCTTATGTGCATATACATAGAAATTAAACATATATCTAAATTAAAAAGAAATTAATAGATTCGATTCTATTATCTTATATCAGGTAATGAACTCCTTATAACTTGAAATGTTACTATAGCTTTTAAAACATTCCATCACTATTTGCAATTATAGAAATAATACATATGAATCTAGTAAAACATCTTCATGATTTATATATATAAAATTTTTCCAATTTCGATATATCTTTAGCTAGTTTCAATTAAGAGTTAGAACTAATTTTGAGACACTGTATTTTAAAGTACACTACTAGCCAACTAAAAATATAAAAATATAAAAATTTAATATGTTTACGATATAAGGTCGGAAGCCTTAAATATTTATTTTGAAATGTTTCAGTTATGCTATTTTTTACATTTTTAATTGAATAGTTTTACAATTTGTGTATTAAATGTATTCAGTATTTGTTGCTGAATGAAGGTATTTATTGACATAAACTGCATTATATTAATCACTTTTATGCGTATCTTATATTACACAAAGTGCATAATCTAATAGTAATAACTATTAGATAATTAGATAATCTAATCTAAAATCTAAAATGCAATAAAGACATAAACTAATGTGCACTTAATGCGAGATACAATAGTCTAACTTTTATTGTCTGTAAGTCACATTTAATAACAAAAGATTCTGAATCTTGTGCAATATAAAATTCAGTATAATTGTTTTGGTTTTATCGAATAATTATGTATATCTAATCGTAAATGGCTATATGATATGATGATAATTTATTATAACTGCAACTATATACATTTTCCACTTTTCGTGAAACAGCTATTTCAGTCCTTTTATATAAAATGGACAGTTATTAATCATCTGATCATATAGTGCTTTTCATTCTACACATTATTTTTTCATATATTTACACGTAAAAATATATGTAAAAAATACACATGTACAAATCAATTGCTGTAAATTGTGAATCTATTTTTTAAATTAACATATTTTTAAAATGCACCAATATTATACTTAAAATATCACTTTGCGAAGCGGAAAGTCATTTTATATTAAGAAACTAAAAGAATTTTTTTAAAGTTAAGTTAGTGCCAATGATTATTTAAAAATGAATCCAGAAAAAAGGTCACTTAAATCACTGGGTTTTTCAACATTCTTTGATTTCACAGTATATACATTCCTAATGATCGATAAGACTATTTTTGTAATTAGCGAAGCAAACGCTTTTGGCAAAATATATTATTACTACAAACAACTGATTTATATATTGAAACTATCCTTTACATATTTCAATATGTATATGGACGAATGCGATATTAAATTTTTAATTTGCATAGCATATGCAGGATATCCATTTAAAATTAACTGAAAACTGAAGAATATAATTTTGTTATTTACTTTAAATTTACATAGCATGAAGGATATTCATTTAAAATTAACTGAAGAATAATTTTCTTATTCATTTAACTTATCAAAATTTAATTTATGAAATGCGCTATTTTCAAAGATAACTTACATATTAATTTAATCTATTCTGAATTGACCTAATCATATTAATAATACTGTAATTTTGACCCTCTCTAAAAGATTTGGCAAAGTATCTTGGAACGTAATTTTATTTTAATCAGTTCAATTAATTTTATTGAGTATTTGCACGTGTTAAAATATTTTGTATTTTAGTAAGAATAATACTATTACTACACGTACAATTTTCGGGATAATATGGAGGTTCTATCGATACAGTATCTTCAATCATTAGAACATCATTCTCCTCTTTGACCGGAAATCGATTATCTAATAATAATTGCAAAACAATACCCTTTCTTTTAACAACTTCCTGTGAAAGTTTTTCAGGTAGAAATAATTCTGGCAGGATTTTTTTTGTTTCCGATATTACTTCGATATTCTTAATGGCATGGTTGAATATTATTTTTAAACGATGCTGCATAGTTGTATCTGATTGTAAGAGCACAAAGCTGTAAAATAATATCAATATTTGCAATTAATAAAAATTAATCATTTCAAATTTAAAACATAAGGAATCATGAAATTATTGTGAAATAAGATTAAAAGAGATATAAACGTATGAAATAAATGAAATAAGTAATGAAAGTTATTGAGAAATTTTTTCTGGAAATAACATTTGTAAAAATAAAATAACTACAAATACAAACAAGAAAATAAAATAAAATATAAATTTAAAAAATTGAAATTTATAATTCTTTTATATAAATACAGAATGACTCATAAAATAATCTCTATAGAAATAATTGTAAAATTTAATGTAAATTATAAAGGTCCGAAATAAACATACTCTAGAAATAAAAATAAAATAATATATACATATATGTACATAAATATATATTTTTTATTATTAAATTTAGAAAATTAAAAGTTAGTCATAATTTATTACAGAATTACATGATTCCATATATTCAATAAATATATTCTTTTTTCTAACCTTTCTGACACTGGATCAACTGTATAAATAGTACCAATAATATCCTCATCTTTCGTTGTTATTTTAACCTCTTTTCCAACATAACTATTGAATAAAATTGGATCATTCTTGTATACTTTATGCAAAAAATCCAAATTATCTTCTTGCGAGCTCATATTAAAAATTGAAACTGTAGGAATTTTAGGTTAGGAATGTATTTACGTCACTGACAAATGACAAGAACTGCAAAAGCATCTCTGTGAGACGAAGAAACCTCTCGAATGTATATTTATAAAAATAGTGGTAAAAGAATAAAGTTTTTCGAAAAATCCTAATTGTTTCACCGAGTATGTTATAGCGGAATTATAATAAAACTTATTTGAATATGATATAAAACTACAAGAAAAGCCTGATAAATTATATAACCTCCAAACAAAAATGGTGATATACGGTGTTTATATCGTGTCAAAATCTGGTGGTTTGATTTTTAATCACGATCATAATGTCCCGAAAATTGAAGTCGAAAAGTCTTTTAACTTTCCACTCGACATTAAATTAAATTACGAAAATAAAAAGGTGGTGGTAGTTTTTGGGCAACGAGATGGGATAAATGGTAAAGATATTTCTATTATCATAATAAATATTTATAATTATACAGAGTGAAAACTTAGTTACTGAACTCAGTTCTTGAAATAATTAAAATTTATATAAATATATATATATGTTCACAAAACTTGAGATTAAGTTTTTTAATAATTTTGAAGTACATCTGTCAATTAGAGTTAATATGTTAGAATAATCTTGTCTTCTAATATAAAAACAAATATATATTTTGACACTATAGTTAAAAACAAATTGATAATTATTAAAGAAATATAAAAAAGAGATTATTTAGAAAAGCAGCAATGTGCTAAATTTGTAATTTAGAATCAAATTAAAATTAAAATTTTGTAAAAAATATATGTATATGAAGCTTGTAGACACTTTCTTATATATATATAATTTTTTTGCATTATTTCCATGTAGAAGACATAAGCAATATTTTTTTTATTCTACATATACATGTATAATTTAATAAAACACTAAAAGGAAAATAATATTTTCAGTGGGTCATGTACTGACTGCTGTGAATGGAATTGCAGTCACAGGACGTGAACTTGAAGATGGACGAGATGCACTGGAAATGTTAGAACAGCCAGAAAATTTTCCTATAACATTGAAATTTGGTCGGGCAAAAATGACAACAAATGAGAAAATATTTCTAGCATCAATGTTTTATCCACTCTTTGCTATAGCAAGTCAACTTAGCCCGGAACCACGAAGTTCTGGAATTGAAGTTCTCGAGGCAGACACATTTCGTTTATATTGCTTCCAGACATTAACAGGCATTAAGTTTATGATAGTAGCAGAACCATCACAACCAGGTATGGAAATTTTGTTGAAAAGAGTATATGATTTATATGCAGATTATGCATTAAAGAATCCATTTTATGCACTGGAAATGCCTATTCGATGTGAACTGTTTGAAACAAATTTACAAACATTATTAGAAACAGTCGAAAAATCTGGTATAAGCAATGTTTAATGCATTTATTATAAAAGAATTATTAATTAAAAATGTAAGATTACTAAATAAGAATATATTTTATATAATATTATATATATGTATATAGAGCAGAATTTTTTATTAATTTTTATTATATCTATTATATTATATATCAAGTTAATTTTATCACATAATTAAAGCTTTAATTATTTGATAAAAAACTGATTTTTCCCTATATAATCAAACTCCTCTATTATTTAACTATTTCATATTTCTGATATAAACATAAAAAAAATATTAGGAAAGCATTAGTGTTTAAGAATCTCAGATTATGGCACTATATTCCACTGTCGTTTTAAATCAGGTTCTGTAATCTGTAAATACAGAGAAAATGTATATTAAACATACTATATAAAAACAAAATTAGAAAATTGAATTTGAACTTTTTAACATTAAGATACCTTCATTGTTAAATTATCTATGCACGCATTACGTATACGTGCAGCAGTGGCAGGAGCATCAAGTCTAAAATAGCTATGAATATTCATATCTTTACGTGCAGCCGCAATTGCTTCTTTGATAGCGAAGAATGCGGATGATGCCAGAAATAGCGGTGGTTCGCCAACCGCCTATAGAAATATTTTTAAAATATTTATAAAGTCTCCTAATTTTCTATATTATTATTCTATTTTTTCTCTTTTAATTTAAAATGCATTCTGAAAAAACTATTTAAAAAATCCTACCTTAGAAGAGTATACCGCTCTTGGATTAGAAGCTCCTTTTAACAGCGAAACATTAAATTCTTGAGGTATGTTGGTGAAACCCGGCAATTTGTACGCGCCAGGTCCTCTACTGAATAAAGTTCCCGTTGGTGAATAAATCATTTCCTCTAATGTGAATAAACCATATCCTTGAATAAAGCCTCCTTCGACTTGTCCTATGTCAATGGCTGGATTTAAACTCTCTCCCAAATCCATGACAATATCTGTTCGTAAAATCTGTAAAAGATTAAAAAATATTGTTCATATTTATTTTAGAAAGTTTTTAATATATATAGCATATTAACAATAATTAATCATTTTCTGTAATTTGGAAATTCTATGAAATTAATTATAATAAAAAAATCACTATTGAAACATGCGTTATTAAAGTCACAATCTGATTTGAATTTTAGAACTTTGTCAATGTAATGAGATTAAATATTCTAACCATGCAAAAATGTTTATAAAAAAAATTAGTCTTTTATATCACATATATAAAACAAACACAAAAAGTCGCGTACCTCATGATCACCAGTGAGACAATCAATTTCAACTTCCGTACAGGCGACTCCATACGTAAAGTAATTAAAAGGATTTCCCGTATTAGTATCGAAAGAATATCCGATATCAGGTGTTCGATAAAAACCAGCAGCAGACAGGCTTATCCTTTGACGATATGCTTCTTTGATCCAATCTTCCCACGTACTTTCTAGATTGCTATTTATTATCGGTTCTAATCGTTCCATAATTTCTTTGCAAGCATTCTGCAAATTAATTTTATTACTATCTAAATCTTTAATTGCATGCAGTAAGATATTATTTATTGTTATTACCATAACAGCCATGCCATTTAGATCGGATCCGGCACTTGCAGCGGTAGCAGATGTATTGGGAACTTTGTCAGTAGCCGTTTCAACAATATGTATTTTGTCTGGATTTACTTTTAGTACTCTGCTAGCAACCTAATATAATAAATATAGTAAATTTATTATTTCAAGCTCAATTGCTATCAATTAATTGCAATTATTAAATAGCTTTAATTAGGATAATCTCCAATTTATATATTTATTTTTCTCATTTAATTTGTAATTTTAAAATTTTTCAAAAAAGAATATATTATTTTCAATCGTTCACAAATTTTCTCGTCAATTCTTTATCAAAGAAAAACTTATTCCAAATTGATCAAAAAAATCCAAATAGATAAAATATGATTTAATAATGTGCTATAAGAAAAATATAGATATTATTCGTACTTGAATCATTTTTGTATGTAGACCTTGTCCCATCTCAATGCCACCATGGCTTATTAGCACCGAGCCATCGGTATAAATGTGCACCAAAGCACCTGCTTGATTCAAAGTTAAAGCAGTAAATGCTATGCCGAACTTTGTAGGTACGACCGCGAGACCTTTCTTTCTAAATCGATTCTCTCTACGAAATTAATTTTAGCAATTGTTAATAATATAGAAAAATATAAAAGAAGGTACAATCACTATATACTCACCTGTTATAACGTTGAACTTCGATTATTCTTTCATTATAACGAGAAGACGCTATACATTCACGCCAGCAGCGATCCAAGGTACAATTGACAAGTTGCTGATTATAATGCGTTAAATCGCCTTCTTTGTATAAATTTAATTCTGACAACTGTCATGAAAGAATTTTTTCGATTACTTTCTCATTTACTTATAATGTATAAATTAAATATTTACACATATATATCAAATTCTAATTTAATTTTGTAAGATTAAGACACATCTCTTTTTCTGTAGTTATTTTAATTTTGTTTGACACTGAAAATTACCTTGACGACATCCAGTTTTAGATAATCAGCGATTTGTCGAATAATATTTTCAGCGACAAACATTCCTTGCGGTCCACCAAAACCACGGAAAGCTGTATTTGATGGTAAATTTGTTTTACATACGTATCCATGTACTTCTGACACCGGAATTCTGTATGAATTTTCAAAATGGAACATGGCACGTTCTAACACCTAAAAATATTCGAAATAATATAATTCTCTTTTACACACATATCATATGTAAAATTTTGATAATTAAAAAAAATATCACATCTTGAATCCACAGATTGTTACCGATATTGATAAATCGAAGGAATAGCCTGCATTATTGTATATATGTATTTTCGCCACTTTAATGAGACCATCATTATTAAATCCTACTTTATATTTAAATAAAAATGGATGCCGTGTTCCACTTATCAACATGTCTTCGTCTCTGTCTAGCATACAACGAACTGGTTTCTGCAACCTGTTTCATTTTTTTCAACGATATAGTAAATCGAGACTAGGCATTTCTATTATTGTATAGTTATTATTATATAATTATTATTATAAATTAATAAAGTTTGATATAATAAAATTGAAGAGAACTGATAGACAGTTTCAGTTTAGAGATTATTGAACAAAATAATTGTTGTCTAAATATTTTTGTTACATCCTTATATTCAGGAATAATTGCGAGTATTATATGTAACAATAATATATATATATATATATATATTTAAATGTGTTTTTATTCAATTTTAGCACATACCTGTGAGCTGCGAATGCAACTGGTATCGCGAGCAAAGCTGCGCGGGATTCTTTTCCGCCGAATCCGCCGCCTATACGCTTCACGCGAACATTAATTCTATTGCTATGTATATTTAAAACGTGAGCGATTAATTTTTGTATCTCAGTAGGATGTTGCGTGGAACAGAATACTTCCAATTCATCATCTTCGCGAGGTACAGCAATAGCAGCATTTGTTTCCAAGTAAAAGTGCTCTTGACCACCCATGCGTACTTCTCCTTCTAAAACATGATCTGCTTCCTTAAAAGCTTTCTCTGCATCGCCTTTAATAATGCTCTTGGATAAGCCAGGGAAGAACGATTTGTGCTCGATAGCATCCTATAGAAGAAAGTTTAATTTATGTATTATTGCGTTGCGATCCTTGAATAGTATTATTTTTTATATAGATTCTATACTTTAGAATACCTCGATAGATATGATAACAGGTTCTATATTTTCATATTCTACTTCGACCATTCTTGCCGCAGTCTGAGCAATAATTTGATCTGTAGCAACGATTGCACCAATTATCTGACCTTGACTTGTAACCTAAAGAAGCAAAAAGGAATTAATTAAAATATAATAAAAGACGAATTTTAAATACCAAACAAATTGGTATTCAGTCACTAATATGTTATAAATACTATATGTTACGAAGTTTCCAAATAAAAGATATATATATATATATATATATATATATATATATATATATATATATATGTTCTGTTATTCCAGCCAATAAAATAAAAAAAAGAATTACTTTAAGAAGAGAGTTATACCTTTTCTGATACAAATACTTCTTCATCATGTATTATAGGGCCCACCCTTATGTCTTTTGCTATATCTTTCGAAGAGAAAAATGATACAACTCCTTCCATGGATAGTGCTTTAGTAGGATCAATTTTCAAAATTTTTGCATGTGCTCTAGTAGAGAGAACTAACGTTAAATATAATTCCTCTGAATATTTAGGCATATCATCGCAATATATCGCTTCTCCCGTTGCTTGCTTGAATGCACTAGCATGCACAATAGGGCGTCCTATTAGATCATGTGATTCTTGGTCTTTAGGTACCTGTCGAGAAAATTATAAACTGTTATATAATTCTTATCGTATTTTAAGAATAATTTGTGTAATTATTTGAATTAAAATATTACCACTTGGTAATATTGTGAGCTCTTTGGCGCTTTGTAATGGAAACACTCTGATGCGCTTTCTAGTTCCTTTGGCAAGTATTCTACAGTCGAAATATTTTTCGATAATTTCTTGGAGATGTGTACAAATGCTTTAAAGAATAAACTGTAAAACATGTTAATTGTATCAGGTTTTACTTTGATTTACTTTGATTTTAAAATTAAATTTAATCATTAACTTGATCTAATATCGCACCTGAGAGTAAGAGATCGACGATATTTAATCATTCCTCCTGGTGCATCATCAACCAACGGTAGTTCTTCGAGTAAAGAATCGTAAATCTCCTCTAAGATTGATTTATTCCATTTTCTAAAATTATGAATTCATATATATATATATATATAGAAGCTTGACCCATGTGTCATTTGATACTTACTTTCCAATTATCTTCTGGCAGGTTTGTCTTGCTAAAATAGTTGTAGGCGCCATTCCACCAAATGCGATATGCGCTTCCTGAACTATATTTTTATCAGGAACGAAGTGTACATTCAAGGCCATATTGACTATAGCAATATCATCATCCCGTCTTTTCGCTTGCTTGTAAGCAATGAAATATTGATTCTGTAAGAAGGAAGAAAGAATAAAGTAGAGTAAGAATAATCTTTTTTTTTATTTCGACATATATTTTACAGAATTATTGATTCTTATTGATATTAATATATTCTTACCTCTTTTGTGAAGGGAATATCGATGGAGACTAATACTTCCTCGGGCAAAACAACGTTACGTCGATATCCAACAAAGAAGGTGTGATCCATCGGTACAGTTCTACTTCCATGCTTTAAACTGCATAAATTTAATTTAACACATGCTGCCATAAAGATCGGATTTAAATCTGATATTGGACTACCTGTCATTATGTTGCCGCCCACGGCCTAATTATTGGAACAAAAATTATTATTTTAATTAAGTTATTATAAGATCATTAAACGATAAGATTATATTAAAGATCATTAACGAACACTTACAGCAACATTTCTTATCTGTTTCCCGGCAAACCAATGTAACATGTTTATTATTTCTGTAAAGATCCTCGTGTTGTGTTCTGTTAGAAAAACATTGCATGATATATATATGTTATAATTTTTTATGCAATTACAATGAACATAATTCTATCATATTACCAGGTTTTATCTTAATATAATGTTTTAATGCTTCTTCAAGCTCAACCAAAGTCACACTTGCACCCACTTTCAATGCCTCTTGTGTTTCAATTATTTCATGCATCTCTTTTATCTGTGTTGGTTGTATAAGTACTGGATATATTAGGTGTTTAAATTTCACCTCGACTCCTATAATACACAAATAACATTTAACTAATTTTCTTTTATGTGATACTGCAGTATTTGAAAAAAATATGCGAACCGATTTCTGTGTTGCCAATGACAATTTTGGCATTTGGATACTGTTCTTTCAGGGCAAGTAGTGTCTTAAAATTTGTTGGTCTGTACCAACTAACGTTTTTTCCTCTCACTATCAGATATTGCTCATCTAATGTAGATTCAATCTGCATAATAAAAATTTTCATATTATTTTTTTCTATAGCTTCTACTATAATATAAAACATGTTATTTGTGTTGACATTTTTTTAGAAGTAGACAATAATTTACTTTTAGTTTTGGTGGAAATATTGGTTCTTGAGTAGGATTATACGGGCAAAATTCTTTAGAATTGAAAACCTCGGTTGGCTCTGAAGTGAAAACCCTTTTACAGCAAGCATCGCCCATTGAACAAACTCTTGTATCATTTATTTTTTCTTCTCGTACAGTAGCCGTCAATTGCGATTGCTCCCATTCCTCTGTAAAAGTCTTGAATCCCTCTATAATCGGCCTATAGCCTGTACATCTGCATAGATTACCTAGAAGTAAAATACATTACTTAATAAAAATATACTATACTTAATTAATCCGTCCTATATTATTTATTTCTATATAAAATAATTTTTTATAGTTATATGTAATTATATATAATTATAGTTATATATTAAATATATATACACTATATCTACATATAGAAATTATATAATAAAGAGGAAGGATTTTTAAGTATATTACCTTGAAATGCAATTTCTAAATTTTCCATAGTTGGTTTTGGTATGCTGCGTAACAGAGCATACATAGACATAACTATACCAGGTGTACAAAATCCACATTGTGATCCATGTGCTTTGGCGATACGTTCTTGTACTGGATGCAATTTCGTTTTTGTGCTACCAATACCTTCCACAGTAGTTACAGCTAGACCATGCACAGCACATATTGGTGTCAAGCATGCATTAACAGCTAAATGACTGTTTTGATTTGTATTAAAAGAATGTAAAGAAATAAATTTAGTAAAAGAATGTAAATATATATATATATATATATATATATATATATATATATGTTTTAAGTCACTGTGTATTATTGCATATCAAGGATACATAATTCTGCCAGTGGTACGATCAAATCTTGAAATCATAACTGTACAGGCTCCGCAGCCTCCTTCTGCGCAGCCAAGTTTTGTGCCAGTTAATCCCACTAAATTATTATAATTAAGGATTAATTAATCGATATTATCTTGATGTAAAAATGTTTATATATATATATATATATATATATATATAAGGATACGTTTGTAGCGAAGATACCATAAAAGTGTCCATTGTGGTTCTACATTCTTGTCTAATACCTAAATCATATAAAATATTTAATATTTAATAATATTTATTAATATTTCAGCAGAAATTACAAGGTTGTCATATACCTGCTTTCCATTCACATAAAATACAAGAGTATTTGATATTTGTGTTTCTTGTAGCTCGTCGCTTGGTAAATCCGTTTCATGAAATCCATTAAACATTACATTTCCATTGAATATATTCGGTTCTTTGATTAAGTTCTTTTCCATTTTGAAATTAATATACTCCTGCACTCTTTAATATATGACTCACTGTGATATACTTGAAGTATTTACAATGCTATTCTGTGAGATAAATATTAGCAGGTATACGAATAATCCAATTTTGCTTCAACAATGTAGAATACAACCACTATTGCAATCCTCGTTTTATACAATATTGTCAAGACTGTAATAAAAATCGTTGTTCCACTTGTCAGTTTGCAAGAAAAGTAAACACAATGTGTATATATAATCACATATATTATACTCGTTGACAATTATGTAAATACAAGTTTGTTGATGAGTTTCCATATTTTTTTTTAATTTCAATTATATTTATAAACTTTATTAGTTATAATGCATCAAACGCGAGAATCGTTTCATAGATTTTACAGCTCGGTTCTCACTACTTATAACAGTTTCTATCATATTTAAGTAGATTATAATTGATTAAATTGACTCCCTTCTCTGTGATCTCAACATATATATATGTGTTATTCAGTCCTTTCGATGCACGGAGAACGGTACAATGAAACGTATCCTCTTTCAAAAATAAATAAAGTGATTTAATACGATTTACTTTATCACCTTCTTTAATGAAAGTTTTAATAGTTTCTTAATTCTCAATTACTCTTAAAATCGCGTTAAACATAAATAGAATATATAAATATTAAATTAGTGATTTTTATATTACATATTTAATATATAACGTAAAATTGTGAATTTTTAACTATTTTTAGAACAGTATTTTAATAAAATTTCTTCATATATATATTTTCTCATCTAAGCTTAAGATTCTAATCTAAGATTCGTCTCTCTGTTTAATCGCATTTTTTAAATACGTCTCTAGTTCTTTTCTCTTTCCTCTATTATATATCGATCTTTTTATATAAAATGGTGCAAACAAATCTTTTTTGTAAATTTTGGTCAAAAGTTGTAACATACGTATATGATACATTTCGTTAATATATGAAACAAAACATTAATATACTCGTATATATTATTCTCGTTAAATATAGAGATGTAAGAGTGCAATAACAATTCTCCCGCATTTTATTTTATAAAGAGATGATATATATGTTTACCAGATAATTAATATAATACACGTATTGTGATAACTTCACTATGCGAAAATAAATAATTATCACGATAAAATATATATCCAATATCTACTACCGTGCCTTTTCATGAGCCGCTGAAACCGATTGTTTGAGCGACAAAAATGATCACATAACAACTTTTGTCGCTGAACTATACAGCAATAATTTTTGTAGATGAAAAGGATAACAGCGCGAGAGATTGAAAGTTGAGCGTTTGACTAGTAAATGCTTTGTAGTTGAACTGATTCAAACTACAAAATTGTTTAGCACCAACAATGACAAATCTGTCGCTTCAATCACTTGTTTTAGCGGCACGTGAAATTGCACCTTAAGAGTAATACTGTATCTTATCACAATCATTTATCTTCGATCTGTTTGCTGATGACTAAGATTTATAGAATATAAATGAGCAAACATGTGTTAAGTAATTAAATGTTAAATAATGTAAATCGTATTTTCCTAAGCGGAAAAAATAAACGACACATTAATTCCACATATAAAAATATTTTCTTATTAATAAAAATAAATTTATATAAAGATAAAAAAATATCTCTATATATTTTTTTCGATTAATTTTAAATAAATTTTATCATTTCGTAAAAATTTTTTCTTGAAAATTAATTAAGATTCGACAATTAAGAAATAACAAGTAAATATCTCTTGTATTTTTATTAAAAAAAGAACCGAGTTAAAAAATACACTTTACTATCAAGTTCGTATATTTTTAAAATGCAATCGGTGGAGAATACACAGAATGTAAAACGGAGTATTAGAAATGCAGTATGTAATTCTTATATAACAAGTTACAGATATATCTACAGATGTATCTACAGATGTATATCTCTGTATCATAACAATTAAGCAATACAAATTTTTACGAATTACTGAATAACACGATTACTAGAAAAACTTGAGCTAGAAGTTGTTGAAATTATTACTTTCATAGAACGAAAGTGAAATACACATGAAAAGTTCACGAAGGTCGTGATTACATCTGAATTGCATTTGTTGCAACACTTAAGCGTCAGAAGCAAAATAAAAAAAACAAGACGCAATATTCACCTAAGAGTCATCTGCGATTGAATACATAACGTGAATGTAGAAATATTTATCAGCACAAAGCAGTATTAATATTTTGTGTAAAAAGACCATACGCACCATTACAATGTCTTTATTTTCGTGAACGTCGACACTTCACGTAATAGAATAATCACACCCGTTCGGCGTCGCTGCACGTTCTAAACTAGTCAAGCGAATCCGAGCAGTAAGAGTAAAAGTGACATAAGGGTTATCATTGGAAGATACTTTATATCTTCTGACTGACGTATTATGATATTGACGAATCTAATCTCATGAGAGATAATCTCTTTTTTCTTTTTAAAGCATGTTTTTTCTATTTTGCTTTTTAGAAACAAGAGCATATTTCCCTAGACTCTAATTGATTAGTGTTAAGCTGATAGTTTCTCATTGAAAAGATTGCGCTTAAACAAATCGTTGAATATTAATTAGAAAAATATTAATAGAAATTTGATTAACTGTAAGTTATGCAATCGCTTTATTGTGAAGGTATCGCGGCGCTGGAACGCATAACATTCCAAAACAACAACCATATCGGCAACATAACAGCGGTAGTAACGTTGTAAAACCAGTTGCCGTATATCATAGAGTCTACAATACTGAATACAAGCGCTTGCTTGTTTGCGCGATAGCCTCTGAGAAGTAGAGATACTACAGGATCAGTGGAAAAATTGAAATACGTGTAGCCCATCACGACTATCGCCGATGCGAAGAACGGATGAAGTATAATCCACGCGATGTATTGACAATTGCGTAATCTATATAAAGCAAAATATCATTGCTTAAGGCAGCTGGCTCCTCTACCGACCATGTTGGAATTGTGACATCAGAGGCGAGAAAACATATACTAAAAATTCTTAGATGTTATTTCGAAATAAAGATATTTCAGAACAACATTTCAGATGACTTTAACACTCTTTAACACTTTAATGAAAAGATGTTTTGATGGCTTTAGCTAACATACTTTTAAAATACCTCGAAAACTATCCCTTTCTCTTTATAATCAATGAATAACTGTAACATGATTATAATATGAGGCCTAATCCGTCTCATCTTTACACATGGGCAGTCATTCCACATGACAAAATCATTTTACAGTTGTTGATTGATTCTCAAGGGAAAAGAATAGTTTTCGAGGTATTTTAAAAGTATGCTAAAACCATGGAAATATCTTTTCATTTAAAAATGGCACATAAGAGTTTTCAGTGTATTTTCTCTCATCTCTGATACCACAATCTAACATGGTCGCAGCGAGAACTCAGGAGCCTTAATTGAGATGAAAGTATTTACAGTAGAGCTAAATAAACAGAATCAATGCTCACCTCGATGCAGGTTTATGATGTGGTGTTATTAATAGTACAACCGGTACATACACAACGGCTGTCAATAATGCTAATGAAAAATTATGCATAGCTATGCACATTAATGTAGTTGCCAGTTCGATTGATGCGATAACGCAGACAAGCGAAATATTCTCGTATTTGATCGACCTAGAAATTATATTCTAGCGTTAGCATTATAGAAATTATAACACTACATGATTAAGCCTTGTCATTTCTTGTTTCTACCTTCTCAGATAGAAACGTCGCAACAATGTGAGAATCGTGATAAGGGCGAAACTGGCATATAAGGAATCCTCCGTACGTAGGTGGAACATTCGTGACCCGATTGAAGCAAAAAATCGAGGAGATGCCATTATTAATACTCCAAATATGTGTGCCCACAACACTTCTGAAGCGACACCTCCAATATCAAATTCTTCAACCTGTGCAAAAAATAGAAATTTAAGATAAAAAATGTATATCAGCTGAATATAGTCAAATTCCCTTATTTCTAGCTACTGAAAAAAAAAATACTAAGAATTCTGAGTTTGATGCTAATATATTAAAAATAAGGAAATTTAATCTTATTTAAAATTGTTAAAGTACCTTGTTCAACGAATTTTGTTTGTCCTTTTTCGTTTCATTCGAGTTACTCGAGGCTTGCAATCTTTGCCAAATAGAAAATGCCTTTATAAATACACTAGCAATAATCAGTACCAAAGGTCGCATATATAATCCTGCAAAATAAGTTTTATTTATTCATCTTACTCATAGAAATATTAAAGATATTCAGGTTTTTAATTTCTTTTCTCACCAATAGAAATATATCGATCAGTAGAGGGCAATAGATAAAAGAAGTATGATTGATGGAATCGTTCTAACAAATTATTGAGTGAGCGCACTATACTTTCCACTACACGTCCTACTTGATAAAAATTTGCTTCCGTCTCTTTGCCAGATTTTTGGAAACCCTCTAATGTAATAGCCTCTATACCAAATCTATAGACAAATTATGGTTAAGAACAAAAATTAATTTTATTTAAATATAAAATATTAAATATAAAAATAGAATGATTAATTAAAGTTTCGAAATAATAATTTTCTCTTCTGTTTTTTTGACGAACATTTATAAAAGATTATTTTCTAATTCTTTATAAACTGATGTTTCTTTTTTTTCTATTAATTTATTTAGATGATATCACAAGTAAGACATCTTTAAATTATCGTAATCTTATATTAATGTTTTAATACCTGTGGAAAAGTCCATGATTACCAGTCGGAATACCAGTGGCTTGTGTTACTACCATACTCATTAATGTATTAAAATGATATCCCCAACTTTTTAATTTATCTCTATAATTAACATCAAATCGACGTTGGAAAGTTTGTCGAATTCCTTCTTTGGTTATCATATTTTGTGCTAAATTAAAAAGATCTAAATTTGGTAATTGCCCGTTCAATCCTTCTATCTAATAATAAAAAAGATAATAATTTTAATTTTAAACATATGCTGTATAATGAATATTGTATACAATCAAAGTCAATGTTTTGAATACTTTTGTACCTTGACATCAATTGATGTAATTTTCATTGCATGAAATTCCAAATTGATAGCAGCTTGAATAGATCCAGCTCTTCCCGATAAGTCTCCTGCTATCAAAATTCCTTCTTGGCCACTAGTAACTCCATGATATGCGTCTAACCATGCCTGCATACCCAATTGCTCGTGTTCAGTTACAAGAAATATTATATCTTTTGCCCAATACTTTTGTTCTGTAGATAAATAATCACATATATAATAATAATCAACAAATACAGTCTAATATGTCATCTGATGGTCTGACAAGACTATTAACACATGACATATTAAAATATATGATGACACATATGATGACATTAAAATATATTAGTGATTATTTAATATTAAAGAGGAAGATTTACTTCTGCAAAATTTTGCAAATGCAAGTAACAGTGCTACCGAAGGTGCAGTATCTAGATAAATGCTATTAATAGGTCTATATGGCACACTGACTACAATAGCTTCGGTACTGGCTGCCCGTGGAGCTCTAACAATGCCATATATATTTTGTCCTACAAACTGTAAAATTTTACATTTATTTATATGTAAAGTAAAAGAATCTCATATATTTATATCTTGTGTAGAGTCATGACTGTGTTCTATCATACCTTTTGTTCTTGGAAGGGATAAATCAAAGAGAAATTATGTATAAATACATCCAAATGAAGCTGGCTGAATTTGGCGGAAAGCCATGCATAAGGCATACTGTCTGGATATCTCTTCATTTCGTGAATTAATTCATGATAGTACTGCTTTGACGTCTGTTCCAAATTACTCTCTTTTGTAACCAATCCAGGCAGCAGGGCATTCTCAGAGAAGTAGGTATCTAAAAGTCAAACGTCAAATAAATAACATTGGCATGTAAAAATTGAAATTACATTATATTAGCTGTGTACTTGATTCAAATTGTAAATCTCTTTTATCTCGCAAGAATAACTTACTGTCATTAAATGCCGGTAACGCCAAGAGCATCAGCCATACGATTCCACCGATATATAATGTAAAACACAACGGTTTCTCCCATTTTAACAATAATTTTATGAGTTTACCACTTCCAGCTCTAGGATCTGTTAGCAGACCCATCTCGTTCGTCTGACAGTCGAAAGAAATCCAAGTAATCACAAGATACGACCCGCTTCACTTATCGCAGTATCATATAACCTAAAAGATGACATATAACCTACCAAAAATACATTTAGTGCTGAATAATTTTCTTGATGGAAACTTTCACATAGTATATTAAAATAAAAGTCTAGCTGTCTAATAAAATTGCGAACATCCTTAATAAAAGCAAAGAAATAACCATATTTATGTGTTTGACGCCAAAACTGGCAGTGCGGCAATAAAAATCATTCATACACGTATACGTCGTCCATTCATCTGTGACGTCACATATGAATGAACGTATATCAATTGTGAATGATATATGTATCGATATTAATCGATTAATATATCTCTAATATTCAATTGTCAGATACATATGGATCTAATTACTATAATTTACTATCGCAGTTTCAATTTACTCTAAAAATTATACATGTAATAAAATGATAGATAAAAAATAAAGATGAATCACAAAAGTCGAATCACCGCAATAATTGACTACATCTGGAAACAAATGTTTCGGGCGGAAAAAAAACTTTTTATGAATTAACAAATTAAATATTTTATAGACTCGTTTTTCCCAGATAAATAACATTGTTTATTTATTACGCTTTTTCAAAGCTCGATATGTGTTTTGAACAATATTTTGCAACGATAATATTCCTACAGATTTTAAGTTTGATTGTTGCAGATTCAGGTAAAGATCATGTGAAATTTTGCAAGGAAGAACAGTCAATGATTGATTTTATAAATTGGAAGCAGTGAGATATAAATCTTACACAATAATATATTTTTTCAAATCTTTTTAAAGATATTACTTTAAATATTAATATATTTCTCCGGATACTTTCTGTTTCCGATCTTGACATTGTTTATTGTTCTTCATCTACGAAGAACCTATATATGGAATTATTATTATTTTTGATGACTCTGGTGTTTTCTAGTTTATAATATATCAAATATTGATTTGTCTAAATGCAAATTATCTCAATTGGGAACCGAATATAAAGGTTTTATTATGACTACTGCTGGTGATTTACGATGCCAATCGTGGTCTGCTCAACAACCAGTTCATAAAGTTAGTTCATTGATATTTTAATTTATTCTATTTTTATATTTTTCTTTTCTCGCAACAGAATTTAAAAATCAAGTCATAACGATGTAAATTTTATATTTAATTATATAATTATATAATTATATTTTATATAATTTTATTGTATATATTATATATTGTATTGTATATTGTAATATTAATTTATTTATATATAATACAAACTTTTATCACTTTTTTATGCATATTAGTATAATTAAAGGAAAATATTTACATCAATTTGAAAATAAATAGAAAATTCCATTTTGAATAAAAACTTCTTTATATATATATATATATATATATGTTGTTTGATTGACATATTTTATATACATGTAGTTTTCGGTCAAAACTAAATACGTAAATCAGGTACTTTAAATATTCTTTACAAAAATGTTAAATATATTAATATCTTCTTAATTTTTTCGCTTTAGATTAGTGCAGATATAACTGATGCAAATTTCCCAGAAAAGTCCATGAAACTTGCTAAAAATTATTGTAGAAATCCTACGAAAGATCCAAGAGGTCCTTGGTGTTATACCTTAGAACCTACAGTTATCGATGATGAATGCGATATTCCGCTTTGTAATTACAAAGGTGAATTTGTAGTTACATTCATTTAATGATAAGACAAACTTGTCCTTAATAATTAAATATATTATTTTATCTAAAAAATTTAAATCTTCTCGCAAAAATAAAAGATACAATACTTTTGCATATTTAAATCCGTTGCTACGATTTTTCAAGATAGATTTAATTAATAATAAGTTTATTATTTAAGTTATTAAGAGACGATATAGGTATGTATAACAAATGTATTTAATAATACCCGATATAATTCACATAATTATATAATTAGATTGTATTATAACGGGACCAGGAGCTGAATACGGCGGAACTCGTAGTTTCAGCACTTCAAAAAGAAAATGTAAATCTTGGAATAAAAGATACAAACTCGGTAATGCAAAAGTAAGAAAAAAAATTAATCTTGTCATCGCGCAAAATGGAATAATCTATTTCTTATTTCTTCATTATTTGATTAATTGGTTTTAGAGCATTAAATTTCATAATAAGTATTTTCCGGATGGATCAAGGGCAAAGGCAAATAATTTCTGTAGAAATCCAGACGATGATATCAGTGGCCCTTGGTGTTACGTGGAAGAAAAAATTTCGAGCTGGTAGAAAAAGAATATTGCGACATTCCTTTTTGCGATGACAAAGGTTTATATTTTTATATTGCCTAATATAAAAAAAAAGTTTTAGTTTAAAATAATCGAAAGAGTAGATAATTTTCAATATAATTACAATCGATTTAAAGTTGAATAAATTAATAAAATGCTATTAAATTTAATAATTAATTATTCTAAATATTTTTTCTTAGATTGTTTAGATTGTTTAACATATTCAAGAAATTCATCAACTTATTCCATATTAACAAGATTAAACAGCACTTATGGAAACATATCTTTCTGGATTAAACTTTGGAATCCTCTTGACGAACAAAATGTATATGGATATCGTTAAGTATAGATGCATTCTCTTACTATAAATAATACAAATCGTAATTATAATGAAATTAATCGGATGCATTTAGGCGGAAGCCAGAATTTTATTAAGTGTACTTCCAATTCCATCTTCCGCCAAGAAAATCGCTCAAGAGTGGAAAACTGGAGTGGAACTTTTGATTTCAAATACAGTTAGCGGTCAGACGTATCCAGTTACTAATGTGAGTGCATACAGTACTTTTAAAGTCAAAAAATCCAATGATAGAATCATCATTAATGTAACACAATATTTGATAGAATTGATTAACGCATGTGTTTTTTAGGATGAACAAAGCCTTTATGAAAATACACCCGAGATATTACTTAGTTCTAAGTGGACTGGACTATGGATTACATGGGGCGGTGGTTTCATATCACTCGGGATACATGGTGTGTCGAAACCATTAATTATGGATGAATATAGAATGACAAATAGTATTTCGAGTTTATATCCCGACAATTTTTTGCACTATGGCATCATGGGCACCGGTGTCTTGTGGAGCATGGAATTTTGTCAAAAATGTATAATGTAACATCCATAAATTTATATCTGTACAGCATAGATTGCAATTATTATTAAACAATATGTTCGAAAATGTTTGTTAAGTGCATAATACGTCAAAAAATTATCCAAATTAATTTATTTATATTTTTTCTTACTTTTCTATTAAATCATTCTATTAAATTTTTATTATATTTAGATTGTGAAAGTCATACGACTTTTGGAAATGAATTCTTAAGAATTTGGCCATTACAGAAAAGTAATGATACACAGGATTTTCAATTTTATCTTCGAGCTAGTCGTAATGTAGAGATACGATTATATCAAAGTCCTGGGTCGCTATTTCCTTGTTTTACGGTAAAATTGGAAAGAATATTCAAAGTGCCTGATATATGTATATAATATTTAGTTTTGACCTAAAACTACATGTAGGCATAAAATGTGTAAATCAAACGCAACAAATTATTTCAGATAAAAATTGGACACAACGTCACATTCTTGTTATATCAGGAGAATGAGAAGTCAGTGAAACAGTATTTGAAAGAAATTATAATTCAAGGATTAATAGATTATTGGAATTGGAAAGAATTTACTATTAGGTATCAATATATTACAATGCACTTATATTGAAAAATACTTGAACTTGTTGACAATAACAAATTTTTTTAAAATAAATATTAAATGTTAAAAAAAATGTTTTTATAATATCTATTTATAGTATCTTTGGTACACATTTATATTTATTCTCGCAACGTACATATGGAAGTGAAGAGATTCTAAAAATAAATCATGATCTACTGATTACTTTACGTTGGTTCAGTATTGGAAGTCAAACGATAGCACATTGGACATTTTTTTGTTCACCCGATGGTAAATTTGATAATATCTTTATCAAAGATTTTATATTTATGTGTATATTTTGAATAATATTATATATTTAATAATATAATAATAATATTTAAATATTATATTATATTTGAAATACATTTCTCGTAATGTTATTCAATTATTTTCCCTCTAATTTCTAAAAATTAATATGTTAATATTTAACTTAGAAGATTTAAATAAAGATTCAAATTAATCTTGTTACAAAGAATAATTATACAAAAAATTACGAAAAATTCTTAAAATAATATATAGTGTGTACGAACAATTATGCTGTGTGACTTATATTGGAAATTTTTTTTGAACTTATATAATTTACCCCCGTTTTAATTGAAAAATCTAAATAGCGATAGATGCGATAGAAGATCCCCAGCCTCCAAACTGTATTCATAATATCGCAGATTATCAATATCAAGGAAATCAATGGACAAGCGCAAGAGAACTTCCATGTATACCATGGATAGCAGAAGAGGTTTCATTTTTTTCTCCATAACATATCTATATTTCTCACAGAATGGCCTTACACTATGTGATATTCTTTATATATTATAAATTTTTTATTTGACAATCTTTGGAATATCGATGATTGTGTATGTGTACATATACGTACGTATGCGTAAAGCTATTTTTTATCTCTGCTTGTTTTTTCTTTTATATATATATATATGCCGTTGGAAAATTTATTCTTTCGTCTAATATCATTCCAAATAATTTGTAATACTATAATAGTAGAAAAGATTATTTATCTTTTTTCTATAAAAGATAGTTTATTTTTATTAGGTGCCGCCTGATGAGAAAATAGCAAATAATTTTGTCGATAAATCTATAGTGAAAGCTTTAAATAGATGTAGAAATCCAAGTCATGATCCTAATGGACCTTATTGCTACGCGATTTCCGACTCGCATGCTTTCGATGTTATAAAAAGATTTTGTCACGTACGGATTTGTAGATCTTCAGGTATTTATAATTAATTCTTATATATTTCTAATTAATTTTAACATATTTCTGATTAATTCTAACATTATTAATACGTTTGTTTATTTTACTATACACAACAAATGTAAAATTCTTTATTTTAAATGTTTAGTTAATTTATAAAATTTTGAGTTTTTATATATTTAATTTATGAATTTATTTATGAATTTTGGTCTAATTAAATAATTATACGTTCTCTTTGTAGAATGTCGAATGGCGGGAACTGCTAATGATTACATAGGCACACTGTCAAAGACTCGTTCAGATCGAATTTGCGCAAAATGGTTAAGCGATTACGATCTCGAGCAAATGCAAATGCAAAAACCGAACGTATCATTAACAACGAGAATTCCTGCTAAGATTCAGAGATCAATTTTGCGTAAAATCTCGTTCGAAACATTATTTAAAACAAAATGTTTTAATAGAATGTTAGTCATTACTTACAAAACTATTATCAGGTTTATCGCCGAAGGTGTCATCTCAATCAGAATTTACTGTCATCAAACCTGTCCACATGGTTGACCGAACATATTTGAATGATAGTCTTTATCCGGAACGTAATGTACGAAATGCCAGCAATTATTGTAGAAATCCATCGCGTAATATTGCTGGCACATGGTGTTACACGACGGATCCATTAGTTCCACAAGATCTTTGTGATGTAAGAGATTGCGAGAAACCAGGTAAAGTTTGAGCTGTTGCATAGAAAAAAAACTGTTGCACAGAAAAGTATATATAAAAAATAAATGAATATTTTTTTCAATAATAACCGTGACAAATATCTTTTTAGATCTTTCTAAAATTGATAAAAATTAAAATTAGTTTACAGCAGTGAAATGAATGCGATTAAAATGTGACTATAAATATATAATGACTATTTACAGGATCTTTCGTAAAAAATAGTTTTGGCAAATTATCTTGAATAAAAAATAAATGTCTATTTAATATATTCTAAATTACACATAATTATAAAGGATCAAAATTTTATTACGATAAATTTAAAGATTCGTTTTTAAAGTGTACTTTTTCTCTTTTTCCATTGTTAAAATATTGAATCTATAGAATGATATTTTAATACCATAGAGGAGTGTACATTTTTTGTAAAAGGACACGGCATTGGGCGTCGTTTATACGTTTTGCCGGAACATCGTACAGAAGGCTTACATTTTTCATTAAAAGCTTGGGAGCCTGATCAACCGGATTCCATAACGTTCGTGTTTACTGCTGATGACGGATTCAATTCCCGTTACATCCTCAAGATCGGAGCTTTAGATAATGAAAAAGTACTTCTCTATTATCAATCGGAAGAGAAAGGTAATTTACATCATATTATATACAGTAGAAGGAATCAATCTTTCACTTCCGTTGAATCTTACCTAATCTCCTACTCTTAATCTTTTAACTATATACTATAGATATAATTTTGGTGAAAAAGAAAACGTTGCCGCATTTGTTATACCTTGGCAAGTGGAGTAGTTTTATTATACGCATACCTCGAGGACGTGTTCTCCTTTATTACGAAGGAGCAGCGAATCCGCTGTTCGAATGGGAACATTCCGAATCGGCTAAAGCTTTTTTACCCGTCTATTACTATTATAATAGCGAGAAAGGACACACGATAGGCGTTGCTTTCGATTGTGCCTCAAGTATATTTTATTGTCTAAATCAGTACACTTGCTCTCAAAATCTTTGATGTAATCTTTCTACGCGTATTCGTATGTAGGATGTCATATAGAGAACACGCAAACCGATCGCTACACTAGAATATTACCATTATCAACGTGGTCCAAAGAAGAGCTGATCAGACCTAATAAATTGGTGCTGATGATACGCGCCAAAGGTGTCGTTCTGATACCGCTACTTTTGTTGCCCGCAACACCAGGGTAATCATATATCGGAATATGTATTTTGTAAAGCCTTTTCATTTTTTTGCATTCATATACCGTTAATTATATTTTGCAGATTTTACGCGCTCACGCTCGGCGAACGGGATCGATGGATATATTTTTTAAAAAACACATATCCTAAAGTTAGGGTTTATCACAAACAGAAAGCACCTAAGCCTATATTTACCACGAATTCCTGGACGAATATTACTATAAAGTAATTCGGTTAAAAGTACATTTATGTAAATTTCACTGAATCCAATCTAATTTAATTACTTACGATTTTCTGTCATTTTTTCCGAAAGATGGTTTGAAAGTACAATTCAAGTATTCTGCAACGAGACCAATGTGTTTCATTATGTGCACCGTCAACCGCTCATCTTTTATTTTTTTTCGCTCGCCGTGGATCCAGGAAGTTGGGCCACTTGGAGCGCGAATTGCATACCATCGGGTATATATAATTAAAAATAAAAAAAATTATGCAAACTTTCAAAATAAAGTTACAAATAAGGAATTTTTATATATTGTTTCACAAATTTAAAAATTTATGATAAAATATATAAAAATAATAATTATCAATTCAAATTTAAAAATGTCGAATCGTATGTCGTTCACTTTATAAGTTACATGCATGTAATGATTAAAAATTTTAATTGCATGCAGATATAGATGGTCCTCCTATAGATGGTGGATGGTCGGAATGGGGACCATGGATTTGTAGTGCTAGTTGTAATGGTGGCATAGGGACCAGAAAACGATATTGCAATTCACCGGAACCTAACGTAAGGGGTGAACCTTGTATAGGGCCTAATAGCATGATGGGTCGTTGCAATATGATTTCCTGTGGTGATGTAACTGATGGTATGTTCAAACTATAATATAATTTGTCTAATATCCCTTCTTATTTTTTAATAAGTTCACAAGATATATCCCGAATTTGTTATGTACATAATTTTAATTCACCGAATTTCCATTATGTACTTGATTTTAATTCCCGAATTAAAATTAATTTCCGATATTTTTTCTTTTTAATATTTTGAAGAAATTAGTCTGTCACAATGCTAATTCTAAATAGTTCATTGCCAGACAAATAAAAGAGAATATTTACTATGTAGCTTTTATTTTTCCTTCTTCGAAATCTCAAATTGATTTAAAAATTTGATAATTTTTATCTCAATTGTGTAGATACTACGACTTTAATAAAAAGAGGAATTACACAAAATCATACTGCTCTTACCGTGAAGGAGTATGAATCGGTATCACTTTCCTCAGATTTACATATCGTAAATGCCATCAAAGCTGAATCGTCTGATTCGGAAATACAGTGGTCTCATAATGGAATTTTTCTTCAAAGCGAACAGCACAGACTAGAAATTAAAAATTATGATATTAGTATGCAATATTTATTATAATTAATTAATACGTTTAATATGTAATAATTTTTTTATAAGATAAGAAACGTGAACTTGTCATTTTTTCAGTAATAAATAGAGCATTATTAAATGACTCGGGTGTATATACTCTTACTGTGCATCGAGTAGATGGAACATACATGATATTTAAAGTCGTAACTCTGGCAGTAATTCCAATTAAAGAAAGCATTATAATTCGCGAAACTCTACCTGTACATGTAACGTGTCATTGTGCTATTCTTGGCTACGTATATTCTGACCTGAAGATCTATTGGATGATTGATAATAGAGTATGGAAAGATTATGGTATCACGTTGCCTGTAGCTGTAAATGTTGATCACATTTCGGCTGTAAATAGATCTCATCATGGTACGTGGAAGTGTATTGTGGAACAAATTGATCTAAATTTCAAGTGGACGACAAATATGATTCGCGTTAAAGGTAGTTTTCGAATTAATGTACAAATGTTTTTTTTTAAATCCATAATAATTTGAAATTAAAATATAATGTATAATTATATAAATTAAAATATATAACATATAAAAATAACATGTAAACTACAACAAGTTCTCAGTCCTCCAAACTGGCGTACTCATTTGATGGAGGATAAGTTAACACGACCGATATTTGGATGGATGCCGAGTGAAGAATTTGTTGCTTATTCGGTATTGGCTATAATTTTATTTTTAATATGCTGCATTATTATAGGTTCCATTCTTTATGTCAGGTAATGTGCAATTATATAATTTGATTATATTTATGTATTGGCAAAGTGTATCATTCTATGATAAAGAAATTAATTATTTTTACAAAAATAGTTTTACAAACACACAAAATTAACGAGACATTTAGATATGTAAAATAATATTACATGCTCTATCAGGTTTCGAGAAAGTTTGAAAGCTAACGTAACTATGGCAAAGAGGAAGGTGCGCATAGGAAAATTTACAACAGAAAAGAAAAAAGATATTGCTGATGATATACTTGTAAAAACAGAAAACAAAAATACAACGCCCGATTTGGTTAAATCTAAAAATTTGCATAGTGCATATAATGAGCAACGATTTCAGACAAAAAAATTAGAAAACGTAAATCGTATGGAGAAGTCGAGACTAAATCAATCCAAGTCTAATTGTAAGAAAATAAAGAATAGATTTCGTAAGTTAACGAAGACTAAATTGGCACATATTAAAAATCTATTAACAAAAATATTGTATCTTTCTAATCAAATTTTTAGACATTTTTTAAAATCTATTGCATGTAAAATTGCAGATTGGAGCAAAAAAAATAAATCTATTGACGATAAAACGTCAGAAAGAGTGAATCTAATCACGAAAAGCGATACTGATAATTAAGTATAAAAATAAAATATCTGATATCTGCATCATGAATACACTTCAGGTACACTTGCTGTACTTCTGTACAATTTTTTTCGATATGATTCAAAATTTTTTTAGATTTATGATATATTACGATCGATAATTTCCTGACAGCTGCGCATATTCGAGTTCTTCACGGTTCTGGTTGAAAACGGATGAACAAAAGGGACGACACATCGCAGACACTAGTGCGAATCAGACGAGATGAAGGAAGGATGAATGAGAGAAAAAGGAAACTCTCCTTCACCCTTCCTCTTCTCCCGAGAAAGAGAGCACGAGGGTTCCACTCTATGCCCGGAGGGCGAAAAGGATTCGCTTTACGGAGAGAAGAAGCGATCGAAGAAGAGTGAGGTTGCCAGCAGATCGGTAGGACAGGCCCGAGGGAAGCGTAACGAAAATAAAGAAAAAGGTACGATGACGGCTATTTGCTGGAAACAGTAGGAAGGACAAGAACACACAGAAGAGAGACCAGAGAAGATAGAAAGAGGAGAGGAGGAAAGAAAAAATGCAAGGCGAGGAAGCGCGAGAAGGATCGAGACAGAAAACAGAGAGAACGACAGGTGCGCCCACGTGGGGCTCGCTTCTTTAAAGCATCATCGCGAATGGGTGGAAGAGCGAGGTAGAAGCAGAAGATGACAACAACGACGACGACGATGACGGTGACGACGAAGACGACGAAGAGGACGAGGAAGATGACCGACCGGCTTCCTTGAGCCGGTTGAACAGACCGACACTCGCTCTACACCCAGGTTGCACTCATGCCAAGTGCATGTGGTGGGGTGAAGATTGCACTGGCGTAGGATGCTGCTTTCCGTCGTTATAAATTATGCCTCCTTTCATGATTATATACACGCGCGAATGTTTACAAGTTTGTTACTTTTCGTTCGATGGAACCAAAGGAAGTTAATGAGGAAGAAAGTAATGACGTCCCAAACATCTCGAATACCCCGAAAACCGGCTCCTTATTGTCTTTGTTCTTGCAACTGTGAGCAATCTTTCGCGTTTTATTCAATCGAAGATATTGTTAGCAGTGGTTCGAGCGAGTCCGGGCAGACGCGGTCTGATGAGGTATGGAGAAACCCAGTCGAAGCCAGTCAAGTACCCCTAAGGCTATACCTCGACTACGCCGATGAAAAAGGCCGCGACTGGGGCCGATGGGTGGGAAAAGGTGGTCCCAAGAGAGGGAAGGGCTAACCATTCGGTAGCAAATGCTGGGTAACCCGTCGCAAGGTCAAGATCAGTCGGTTAATCCCGTCCAGTCGACCGAGGGCCTTGCACCTTGCACGACGAGCGATCTCTCTCTCTCTCTCTACACTTGTTCGCACTCTCGTATACGTTTACGTGTAATTTTGCACCGGGTACACGCCGCGGACGTATTAATTACGCGTATTAATTAACAAGCGACAGCACAGTTCGCGGAGATTAATCGGATCGTCTTTGGAGAACATTTGGATCCTGAAGTTTTAAATGTCAATCCGTGCCGGGACTTTTCTCATTAGCAATGGGCTTCTCGTTCAACACACGGCGTGCTAAGAGAATCTGATGTTCTCGTAAAAACAATATAAAATATCTTCTTAGCGATTTGTTCATGTGCAAGCACGGATGTACTGCAAATAATTATTCAATCAAGTGAAGATCGCTGTGGTGAATTCCCGAAATACACTCTTCGCGCGGGTCTCTGTTATGGAAACTTGCGTCTTAATACCTAAAGAATTCTCTCTGGTCCTTACCAACGATCAGTCATCCTGTAAAAACCTCTTCAAAATGACTCGGCTACATTGGTCACGGATGTAAGAATTTCGGTATGGTCGAATGTGTTTATCCCATCGGGAACTCTGATTTACCCGTTTCAAGGATCGATCAGATTTGACAAGATTGACCTTTACTCTCTTCTTGATGACAATGACGTAAGTGAATTTATAACTCTATTTTTATTCTATTTTATTATAATATTTTAAGAAATTTACACGAATTTCTTACATTCCATTGAATGGCATTAATAAATAATATTATAATCACATTTTTTGACAACAGAACGATCAAATAGCACGTAAACAGTATAATACTTAAAAAAAATGTGTATATACTATACATACCGATATGTATATTAATTTATAATCTTTACTCATAATTTTATTTGCGAGAAACGATAGCTTTTGTATAAGTAGATTTCCCGAATCATAATTTAACAGGAGTTACAATACTTTTCGATGCGTGGCGAATTTTTTAAATGAAAGATTAGCTATAAATTATTTTAAAAGTATAACGTTAAAAAATCTAATGTTATTTTATTTTTCATATCTTATTTATTATACCTATCTCTATTTAACTTATCAAATATTAAAGAAACGTCATAGTTATAGAAATATGCAGCCATTTTGTCGGCGCAAAAATAATAAAGATGTTATATTGGCTATAAAAAAATTAATATGATCTCTATCAGTTGTCAAAGTTATCGAAAAAGAATTCGATATAAATATATGCATTATTCGTCTCTCGATACAGTCAATACTCATGATCGCCATTCATTAAAGCGATGCGGTTTTAGATCAGACGCGAATACGGCTGTTACGACGAGGTCTTCTTCTCCAACTACAATCTTAACAAGCGTCAGTGCAATTGGATAAGGTTTCTTCGTATTGTTCAGTCATACGATGAGCAAGTTAATCTGATCGGTACAAAGGTGAAGGGTAAGTAAAAAAAAACAATTCGAGGTAAGCTTTTTAAATCCAGAACGTTAATATAACTGCTAATTAAATAATATTAATATAATTTTATATAAAATACGAAAAAAGGAATTGAAAATATTGTTTTAACGTCTATTTTCTCCGGTTTTCTGAAAACTTTTATCGTTGCTCTCTCCCTCTTTCTTTTCCTCTCTCAACAAATATAATAATTTTTAAAAGAAGAGAAATCCTTAAGAGAACGTTTGTTAAAATATTAAATTATTCTGTTTGAAAATTATGCAGCATATTTTTTATCCGTGATGATGCGATATTAATAATTTTTCTTTTCGACACTTTGCAGCTCTAGCACTTTCATTCTCTTTTTTTTTTAGGTGAACCTATATTCGAAGTAATAAAGGATGTTCAACCGGACACAGAACTAGTGGCTTGGTTTCTACCAGCAACCCAGCAGGATTTCGTTATCATCTCGCACGACGTGTGCTCCAGATCGGCTATCTACAGGTGTACGATCGACTCTATCTTAGACGGTGAGTGAAAAAAAGCAACGTATGAGCAATAGATGAACTTATTTCTAAACATTAATTATATCAATAAACAGTAAAATATGTATGTGAATTATGCATATTTACACATCTAAAATTAATCAGACACAAATGATGGAATATTGAAATCATCCCTATATATTTAGATTATGTCTACTACCCTTTCTCTTTTATAGAGAAACAACCCTTTCCAACGATATAAATTAACCATCACTACTGAATTTATCGCCTGCACTTAGTTTGTTAGCAATTTCCTGTCCTGAAAATTCACAAGGAACGCCGCGTTCGGACATTGTAACTGTAAGGATCATCTATATGGCTACACTGCGACCATTGTACTGTCCTTTATATCTTCGGCGTGCGCGGTCTACGCATTTGAATCGGAAATCGCGGAGCTTTGTGATCCGTCCGACAAAAATGCCGCCGCGTATTTGCATTTCAGATCGTTTTCGGCGAGCTTGTTGTTCTTTTTCCGATTGCACTGCGATTACCGCTAAACGGCTGCAACGGTGGTCGATTCGCGAGGAGATGAATTAACGCGAGAAGTTTCAACATCTTCCTTCAATTTTTTTATATTAATAATTATCGAATAATATTCAGTCGATTGAGACAAATAATTTTACGCTAAAATTTATTTCGAAATTTTTCTCAGGCTTGTATCTCTCCGACATAAAAGATTTTCCATCGTGTCACTCGTGTATTAAGTTTCTATCGATTAGTATATATCCTCAACACACTTATTGCACATATATATGGAACTTTAAATTGTTTAATTTGGATTTATAATATTCGAAATATGAAGTAAAATATCTCGAATAAAATTTGTGCGTTTATATTTGCATCAAATGAGAAAATTCGAGAAATTGCTCTTCGTCCCTTTTCTTCGTTTCATTATAATATATTTCATAAAATTCTGGAACCTTTGAATTTCTTTGAGATCGAAATGTTCTTACTTACATAGAATCCCCGTTGGACTTGTCGATGACATTACTCGCTCATCATTCTCTACCACCGATATCACACTCCTATTACGAGGTGGATGAATACGAATCAACATCCGAGGAATCCTCATCATCAACCTTGTCGTTGGCCGGTGATCATCTCGATTGCAGCATCTTGACGACGATTAAAAGAGGGGAAAGGGTTTTATTGCCTTGCGAAGTCTGCGGCAAATCCTTCGACCGGCCATCTCTTCTGAAACGACATATGAGAACACACACAGGTATGAAACGAGAACTTGAGATTAACACATCCAGGTAGTTTTTGCGCACGCGAGACATTGAATAGCGGAGTAAAAAGCTTCGCTTTTTCCAAATATCTTCGAAATATCAATGTTAACGTAAACTGCCAATCGACGCAAAATTTTCATTTCTGTTTGGCAAAATTTCTATCTAAAAAAAGTTGATAAAGCTTATTTATATAAAAATTCACGAAACACAATTTCAATCAATGATAAATCTCATCTCAATGCGCAAAGAATAGCGAAACTATATTTTTGCAAAAAGCAATTAATTTTGATAGTTTTATTCTAAAGATTTTGTATGTATATACAATTTTTCTCGTGAAGAAAAAAATTAAATCGTTAAAATTTCAATTATATATATATATATATATATATATATATATATATATAAAGATATATATTGATATGCGAGCGAAATGATACGCGAAATCGCGATCACTTTTGCTCGACGATCGAGATAAATGCTCTCGAAGAAAGGGACATTATATCGCGTTGTTCGTATATATGTATATCAAGTCGGAAATCATATAAAACACGAAGGACCAACGCGGTAATTCAGGAATGGTATTAAATTGAAGGAGAGAAACCGCATGTCTGCATGGTGTGCAACAAGGGTTTCTCAACCTCGAGCTCGCTGAACACGCATAAACGCATCCACAGTGGTGAAAAACCTCATCAGTGTCTTGTCTGCGGTAAGAAGTTCACAGCCTCGTCGAATCTCTACTATCATCGGATGACTCATATCAAAGTGAGTACTTGGCACATATTCACGTATTTTTCGCGTCCAATCAAAGAAAAAAGATTTGAAGAATGCAAACAACTTTGGCGCTGTTATGCAGTTCAAGTCTTAATTTTATTACAATAACAAGATTATTATTCGAACATTCTGAAAATTAATTGATTAAACACTACATCAAAATCGTTGCATAGAAGCCGCTATATATTAATTCTTTTTACCTTTAATTATAATTGTACTGTATATGTATATCTATCATTCTGATTTTAAATATTGCTATCTGAATTTTAATAAGTATTATTAACTGATATTTATTTAAATGAAGAGATAATTTAATATAAAAATCCCCGATTCCGGGGTTTTAACCTTTTCGATATTATATAAATCAATATTCAAGAAATCTAGCCGACTAAGTTATGAACTTACCATATATAGTTCGGTGAATATCACTGGATTGTGGAATTTATCCATACGTGCGTTTAATGCAAATATGATTTCAATTTATATTGCCTTCCTTATATACATAATTATATAGGAAAAAATAAAAGATATCCAGTGTATTCACGCGAATCTAATGTCGTATACGGAAAGCGCTCCGCATTTAATTGATACGTATACACAACAAAATGGTTTCTAATAAATGGCAAGATTTAATTTGCGGCCAATTATTTTATATATTCTCTAACTGATATATAATAATTTGTCAAGAATTTTGAAGAAAAACAAAGAGGAAAGGAACGCGATAGCTCGATTTAGATCGTGAAAACATCGACCTCGAACGAGAGGCTGTTATTAATCTGGAATAAGCTAAGATGCTCACGCACTATTTCTGCGCGCGTTTTCATCTCTTTGCTTCTCGTAATTTCGCGTAAGCCTGGTAGAACTGGAGTATCCAATAAGAAAGACCGAGCAATGATCGGCGAACGACGAGCAAGTGGTGAGGGAAGGTGAACGTGCGAAGTAATCGCGAGGATGCAAAGTTTTTATTTATCGCAGCGGAAACCGTATGAGTTTCTCTAATCCCATTCGAAGTAATGATATCTCGGGAGCCATAAAGGTTGGTCTGCCATCAGCTACTGTAATTGGCCCATTACTTGCTACCGCATGGAATGCAATCCAATTAGAGAGACAGAGAGCGTATAGAGCCGGAGGCTGAGGCTCCTCGCCACGTTACTCTCATCCTCCCTTTTCTTCTTCCTTCTTCTCACTGTTGCACACGTCCTGTTCATCCTGCTATACCAACCTTCGTCCGCGCGCGCGTGTCGTTTTGCTCCGATTTTCCCCTTCCGCTTCGTCGCCTTCGCTCTTCTTCTCGCCCTTTTTGCGGCGAGATTCTTCCGAATTTCGTCTTCTTACCTGTCTCACCAAATTCCTGGCGCGACAGATGCCTTCGCAAAAATTGAACATGCCAATCGGAGATGAATAACGACACGCTTGATCGTTCCAGCTGGCTACTTTGCCGCTTTCTTTATTTATTGAGTAAAGCACAGGTGATACTCACGTTCATGTAATTGCTGTTTGATGAATATATTTCATCTTATTAGAGCGAGCAGATATGTATATGTATATTTCGGCGACTTCATTTTTTCTTTCACATTCTTGCTTGAAGAGAAATCGAGATATGATGGATGAATTTATTTTATCTTGAAACCCTATAAAAATGACAGATAACACAAATTAAATAAAATGTCTAATTAAATGAAATGTATAAGATCTCGCTCCTGATTTGATGAAAAATTGATACAGCATGCATCATGCTTTTAAAGAAGATGACTCTGAATCTCTTTAGATGACAGAAAGATAGAGATCGATTTAAAATTTATTTAGACATTTTCAATACATTTCTCGTTTAGTATGTTTCAATCAAATATACAGTACAATAAAATATTTCTGTCGATAAAAAAGATATGCATTTAATGATCAAGCATTTCTCTCTGATCGTATATATATTTTTTTCTAATACGAGTATTAACTGCATGCTCTATCCAATTTAATGTAATAATTATAATTTGATGTTAATGAATACCATTTAAAATATATTTCTTCTTTACACAATAAAATATTTAATTAAATATTAATATTTAATTAAATATTTTATATGCGGGTTCTTAATTTTTGTTACAATAAGACTTTTGTTACTACAATCAGTAAGAAAGAGCCAAATTTTTTATTATTTAAAATTATATATATGTAAAATCGCGCTATATACATACGTGTAATTCTCTCGATCGCGATCCGCTCTCATCTTATGTAGCTACGAACGTCAAAGAAGCCTGCGAGAGCGGGAACTCATACACGTGCTTACGGATGCATCGCACCCGTATCTATCGGCAGGTGCATCCGAGATTACGCGTGTAAAACGAGAGAAGGTGTATCGTGCGTGTATGTGTATATGTACATACATGTATACACGTATGCTGTACGCAACAAGAAGAAGTGATGCGTTGCTGGCGGCCTTAACGAGCCGCGTACGCACCGGTTTTAGTTTAGCAAGGTTATTTGCTAAACGGCCTTCCTGCCTGCGTGAGTAATTGCCACTGAGATCATCGAGAGCGCGACTGAACCGTTTTTAATCGTTAGTCAAAAAAGCATCGTCGCTATAAACTAAATATCTCTCTCGGAAGTTTGCAAAATTGCGCGCCTCCTGCTCAGATTCTAATACGATAAAACTGGAATCTACACAGAGAGAATTTTCTCTTAGAATTTATCCTGAAATTCATGATAATCCTGAGAGACGATATCACATTGAAAGAATTTTTTATAAGAGTTTCTCTGATTAATATTTTTACCACAATAAAAAATATTGATATCTACCGCAATAAGATATATAAGAAATATGTTTGATTAATTTTACTAAAATACATATATAGTAAAAATTTCAATCATAAAAACTGATGTATTCAGTGGCTCTTGCATAGTAATTTTCGGTTTATTATTAAACATGATAATAGTGTAGAATTTTGCGATAAAATATAACGAAAAATTCTCTCCGTGTATTTATTTTTAATGAAGATTCTGTGTAACAATAAAATTTTAATTGCAAAACTACGTGTAACACGAACTTGAAGATTACAATCGAGATAATGGGATTCTTTGTAAAATCGAAAGATGTGATATAACTTATATTTTATCTTCTCTTCTCGATAGAATATCCGATTGACACATTATTCGGATCGCAGCATAGCATCCACCGTGAAATATTTCGTTATGTTTTTCTAGGAGAAGCCGCACAAATGTTCGCAATGTTCAAAATCATTTCCTACGCCGGGTGACCTCAAGAGCCACATGTACGTGCATAATGGGCTCTGGCCGTTCAGATGTCACATTTGCAGCCGGGGCTTCAGTAAACCGACCAACTTGAAGAATCACATGCTGCTTCATCTAGGCAGATGCTCCAATAAAAAGTACATCAAGTCTATTTCCGACTTGTGACTGACATGAATATCAAGTTTCGTGAAAGCTTCGTAAAAAAGATTTAGAAATTATTGACGTAGACAGACGTATACACACACGTAATGTGCCATTCTTAGTCAAACATGTAATTTGACAAGAAGACAATCGTACATAAGCAATATTCTCTTGTATTATGACTGATTTAGATTACTTTATGTGAAAGCATACACTTGTTCAATGATGTAAATTTTTTAAGAAAGACTTTTTTAGTTAAATTATCCGATAAATTACAAATATTATAATTATATTCATTCGTATAATTAATATATTATTTTTTTAAGAACGTGGATAATAGAATTTATATCGAAAAAGTTCTTCTCTTAAACGTAACTTACGTTTGTATGCACAATGATAGAATAATGTTAGCTTATCAGGATAATATTATAATGCTTATACATATATCTCCATCTTTCTTTTTCATACATTTAATCATTAAAAAATATCCTGTAAGAAGATATTGTTAATAAGCTTTTTTCATTATGAAAGTTGATTCTATCATCTTTAGTCATTCAAGATTTTATTTTATCTTTATTATTTATCTCTTTACAAGGAGGAAAAAGGAGGATTATTATTTAAAATTAATCTTTAAAAATCGAGTGGATTCTTCGATTTGTTCAGTTTTCAATTTAGAATTTTTAAATAAATATGCCAAAGTGATATTTTATTTAAAAATATGATACCAGTCTAGAATTTCCAATTTTCCGACAAGTTCAATTTCTAAAGATTAACTGGATATATAATATCGAGAGAACAAATAAGCCACTTTGTACAAACATAAGAGTTCTTCGTGAAATGAAGAGCGCAAGTTGCCATTTTCTTAATAATTATAAGCAATAATTAAAGATACTGTGCGTTAGGTACTTTAAGAACTTGTACTTGTACATGATACATATATGTATATGTGTATGCGATAAAATGATGTATTGTAACGCTACTTTTTTTTACAGAAAGCGTGGCAATTTTTGTTTCATCGATCTCTTGTCTAATGTTCACGTTTTTATAGATATCTTTCTCAAGGTATCTCTTTAAATAAATATTAACTGGACCTTTTTCGTAGACGATTTATTTGATTGGATGATTGATGCGTGCTTTTTTTTAACCGGTGTAAACGCATTGTAAGTCGCGCACGGGATGATATACATACTCATTTCATTCCATAATTTCGAATGTTGGAGTACAAAAAGATGGGCCACACATATATTCTCTGTAAATATTCTATTAAACGGAACACAATTTGGAGATGTTTAGATTTTCAACAACTCTTTTTTTCTTTCCTTCGTTTTCTTTACGCAACTTTATATGCAATTTCGTGTGGATATTTTTTTTACGCAATATTTATCTATATCTCTTAATATTAATACACGCCGCCGGAACCGCCACTGCCGAGTCCGGCTTTCGTGTCGACAGGTACTTGTTTTTGAAAGCAATCCTCCAAGAATTGCTCCATCGAAAGATACAAATGCCCCTTAACGCCCGCCAAAGTATGACTTACATCCGGATAGACCTATGAGTAAGTCAACAGATGCATGCTTTCAAGATGCAAGTTTATAATTTATTATAGTAATTTAGAATTATATCTCTGTAATATGACAATGAATCTCTTGTCATCAATTGAGGCTTCTGTTAAATTTAATTTAAAAAGATTGAAAAACAATGTTCCTCTGTATTTTAATTCAAAGAAAGGTATAGAATGTCTTATGAGAAAGAAAATATTAAAATACCTGCTGCCGAAAAAGTATGCCTTTCTTAGCGAGATGACGGGCAAGCGCCATGGATTGTTGAAATTGAACGTTGTCATCCGCAGTCCCGTGTACCAAATAAAACATCTTATCGTGCAGATATTCTACTTTGTCGTAAACGTTAGATTCGGCGTAGCCTTTGTAGTTGGATGTCACGTTTGGTAATCCCATGTACCTCTCGGCGTACGCGGAATCTGTGCGATATAATTATATTTTGCGTTTGTGAAATAAAATCATCGGTAAAATATCATCATAAAATAAAATCATCAAGGTAATAAAATGCAGAGATATTTTTTCAGAAGAATTTTAGCTCCAGGATAACGATCCACAGTACCATAAAGTTCCCAGGAGACGACAGGTGCGACGCTTATTCCGCACTGGAATACGTCTTGCTTCGGATTAGCTAGAACGAGGGCAGCGACGAAACCACCATAACTCCATCCCCAAACAGCAACCCTTCGTTTATCCACGAAGTGTAACGAATCCCGTAAGTACCTGGATAATTGTAAACATATTTGGAATAAACAGTATTATAAATTAGTTTTACAAATAATATGAAACCTCTAAAAATGGGTGTTTTATAAGCAACATATACATACAACGATTAAAGAATTTTGTTTATTAAGAATAAAAATGAAATGTTTAAGTTCAAGAAGCAAAATTTGCGGAGCCAATATCTTGCTTACTCCGTAACTTCGATTTGGTCAGCCACTTCCACGGAACCTAACCGATAATAAACTTCATGAAGCAATTTATAGCCTTGTCCTCCGCTTCCTCTACCATCGATCTGTGCGACAATCACATTTTTCCGACTAGCTAAATATGTGTTCCAATCTATTTTAAACATCTCGGTGACCAGTTGCGACCCAGGAGCACCGTATCTGTAAAAGAAAACTAGACATTCTATACAAGTAAAATAAAAATTTTTTATCTCTAGCTTATTTGGTAAATAAATTATTCAATAAGCCAATAAATCAAAAGAAAACAAAATAATAAATAAAATATTTTATATTGTTCGCTTTAATATTTTTAATTTATTACGAGTAAATTAAATAAATCATTATTTACATCTAATTTCATCACATAAATTGATTGATAATTACACCGTACATTAGATACCGTTTTATGCAGTAATCTCATTGATTAAGAGATTATAATGATTCAAGATTTTATACACGAGCTCTATCTGATATATTTTTTAAAATGAAAAATACAGATGAAAGAGAAGCATTATGCAATAAATAGCAATATATATATGTACTTACACTTGGACAACCAATGGATAGCGCGTAATTTCATCTTCTCTAAGCCCAGGTGGTAGGTGCAATCTCACCTGGGCATTGTAACCGCCGCTAATATGCACAGGAAATGTCTTTACCTGCGGAAGTGCGATGTTTGCCACTTTTTTCTACAATAAACACACATCCGTGGAAAAATTAATTATAAGATGCAGCTTTGAAAAAAATCGATCTCTACTCGCAGATAATAGTTTAAAAGCTTAACTTACGCGTAACAAGGTATTGTTCTGCAATATTGTGATAAGTCGCGGCCTGGGCAACTCCGTTTTGTAGAGAGCCACCGTGGGTATACCAGGTCCAAGGCACTCGAGAACGAAATACTCATGGCTCGCCGATGGGAAAATCGCGTTGTGATACTGACAGGGAGGTTCGCCGATCTCTAGAAGTACAAAACGTATCGAGGCCGAATAATAGGATCGTGCACTCGGACGAGCGGTAACACACGACTATTTACGCGCGCAATTCCAGGCTGGTATCGTTTTGTTAGATCATTTAAAATATACAGCGGAATGTATATACATTTAAATATCTACAATATATAGAGTCTAGATATATTTTAGCGTTTTCCACCACATTCAAATATACATCTGCGCTTTATACATCCATACATATCAAACATACAACACGCTGTTGTATACAGAGAAAATATATAGGATATTCCTCAATAAAACCAATTTCTTCGAACTGTGAAGTGGTTGATTAATTTAGAATTGATCTTTTCTTTTGCAAAAATATCGAGACGTTTTAGAGCTTTTCTAATTATACGAATGAAACTGAAGAAACTGTTGAAGCTTTAGAGAAACACAAAGAGATGAAATATAAAATCATATTTATTCAAATTTTCGATAGAACTTTATTTGGATATAATGTTAAAAATCGAAAGGTTGCGATAAATAATGATAACGTCTTTGATATTTTCGCTGAGAGAAAATAAATTCAAAATCGTTCAAGAAATTCAACAGTTGCTTTGAAGCTTACCGAGGATCATTCTATATATTGTCAACTAACAGATATTGTTTAGTTGCGTACCGTCTCTACCTGATTGATTATTCGTGGATACCGTCCGTCTCTCTCTGTCAGCACTCACACACTTAAGACGGCAAGAAAATGGTACAAAAGAAGAAGGAGGCTGTAGATTCGAGAATGCCGCACCATCGGCACCAGGCGGTCGGTATTATTGTCGTGGATTACCAATAAAGCCGGCTGTTAAGAAATCTCTATAAAGGAAAGGACGTGACTGTATGGCAGGACAACAATGGTCCAAAAAATCCAGACAGCCTCTTAACAGGACCCTACGCACGCACAACAAGGAGTTGTCCCAAAAATAACGTTTCTATTATCCCGTTATGTTTTTTTATATGATTCTAAGATGATCTTATAATTAAATATATTTTAAAATGTTTTTTTATTTTTAACATTTTTTATATTTTGCTCGACATTGCTTAAGTGTTATTCGAATCATAAAAATCTCGAAATATAATATCTCTAGAAAAAATCAAAATTAAACACTGTTATAAGTCAGCTAATAGACGAGTAAACTTTTAGAGGAATTAAAATTTTGAGACAAAAATATTTAATGTAATTTATTATTTCAATTATTTTTGCAATAATTTTCCCGTTCAGAACGATTAATTTTTAATATATTAAATTTAAAGTTAATACATTTATAATTGGATATTATTATTTAGTCAATAAAATATTTTAATAAAAGTGATTGAATTAAAAATATTATACTTAAATTTATGTTAAATCTCCAATGCAATAAAAAAATATGCCGTATTGAATTTTTAATCATACGCGATATCTAGTATATATTTTGATGATAATAATAAAACATTGAGAAAAAATAGATCATCTTTTTTTACGCAAAAAATCGCGCGATAAGATCCTTTAAGAGTTCTGAGCTAAACACATCTGAAGCACATAAACGATACAACATTATTGACATTGTACACGTATGGTGCGAACAACTATAAGACTTTGGCTAACGCGCGTTTAGCATGTATAAATTTATACACATTATTAAATGTTTAAAAACAACAATAGTTGGTATTCGTATAAAAAGGTAAAAAGAAACATAAAAAACTGTATGTAAGTATATCCGTGTGTAAGTACTAATGTCGAGAACAGTACTATTATATAGTAGGAATATATATATATATATATATATATATATATATATATATGATATGTTTGGATATATATAATGGTTGAAAAATACAGAGTAAATTTTAGTTTTCAAGTAATTTTTCATTGAAATATACCTCCTGGCAGAAAACCTTTATATAGATTTTTAATCTAATTGTATTTTTACCGTTAATACTATAAACGCTGCCTTACCCTGTTAAAATAGCTTTGTGTCTTCCATATTTGAGGAAGAAAGAATGTCATATAATCTGGTTGTTAAAAATTTAATATATATATAAAATATATAATATAACGAGCCAGTCAAAAAACTTCTACGAAATCTTTTAATTAGGAAAGATATCGAAAAGAGAGATAAGATAAAGTAAGAGAAAGATGGAATTTTGTAATTCATATTTCAAGAAAATAGAGGCTACGTTTCTAGATTGCGTGCGAAATAAATGTGTTACCGCATAGTGAATAAGTATAGTCAAAATCATTATAGTGAATAAGTATAGTTTTATGTAAATGAATAAAAAAATATAATTTGCTACTTTGAATGTGCAATGTGTTAATTGAGTTTAATTAATAGTAAAAAGAAAATACTTGGAGGACTATGAAAATCAAATATGGAGTGTACGAGAGCATATGAATAAAATAAATATAAACAACATTTATAATTTCATTGTCGATAAAATTTGCATGGCATATAAATTTTCATGATATTAAAGAAAAGTTACAATATAAAATTAATTATAAAAATTAACATGCAATATGTACAGAATTAACATAAGCATAACAGAGCCAAATGTTAATAGTAGCAGCATTGAAAATATCACATATTTAAAAAAAATATAACTGTCTGCTAATAAATGCTAATAATGATATAAAACATCGTCGTAAATAAACTTAAAAATTCATGCAATTGCCATAAGGAAATTTTGTATCAAGCCTTGAATCAAAACATTTGCGATATCTATATTTTATTAATAAAGAGAATAATCTTAGAACTCACTTGAAGTATTCTTGTTTTTGACTTGTTTTTTTTGGAAGTATCTTTTGCTTGGCGATTTTCCTTATTGTCCGTTTGACTCTCATAGTGATCCTGATGCCATTCATTTGGATTGGCCTGACCATTCTGATGAGCATTCGAAGAACTAGTTCGATGTTCGCTTTCATCATTGTTCATCACATCGGATGAGACGGTACACGTGAGGCATATAGCAGGAGGTAAAGGCGTTCCTTCTTGAGGAAGAGTGGAGCTCACACGATAGAGATGTCTCTGGCCCGGTCTCATGGATGGAATACCGATGAAATATCTGATGAAAAAAAGCGCAAATTGTTTTTATATTAAATCGTATTAATTACATTTTTAATAATGCAAAAATAATTAGTTAACTGATTAACGAATTGTTAGCTTACATAGTATTGTTCACTTGGTCCCATACTAAAATCTTCACAACTTCAAATTTCCCATGAGTCAAAGGCACTATTTGTTTTCGGAGCACATTAGCCCAGATTATATGCTTGTAATATCCCGCCGGTCCATCTTTTACAGGACTTATCGCGACATAACTGCTAGCATTTGCTGAAAAAACAGGGACCTCCGGAGGAGTGTCCACCCATCCGCGATCCTCGCTCGTTATCCTTTGTATTTCCTGAAATAATTTATTTATATATCTATATATATTTATTTATATATCTTAACATTTTAATCTATTTGAACGAATATTTGTGTCTTTTTATATCAAAACGCAGATTTATTAAAAAATAAAAGAGATTTTATCTTATATAACAATGTTTGTTAGAAGCAAGCTTAGAGAAGTATCGTATTTTATAAAATAAAATTGCAAAAACATATGAATATTTATGTATTATATAAATGTATTCTGTATATGCAAAAGAAGATGGTACTTACGAACCTGACAGTGCCACATTGGACTTTTACAGATTGTCACCAATGAAAGATTCTGGGCGCGCGTCAACCATGTTATGCAGACTTCTGTTTGAGATACCCAGGAAGCTGTTGAGAAGTAATGATCCCTGGAGAAAATCCAAGAAAGATAGTGCATTTAGAAATTTGGGAAATTTAAGAAATAACAGATACGAGTATTAATAACAAAATGCAAATAAATTTTTTTAGTTATAAGAGAACATTAAATGAGACAATAAAATGTATGCGAGAGTTTTATAATTTTTAATCACAGGTAAAATAATTAATTTTTCTACTACGAATTAATATCTATATTACTTATATAAGAGAATAAAATTATATTATAGTTTATGTTTTTTTATTTATTATTATTACCAATAAGTATTCGAGTATATATAAAATAACTTCTCTGATATTTGTACACACTCTCTCGTTTATTAAAACAATTATTTATTTAAAAATTTAAATTTATTATTAACAATTTCTAAAATTAATATTAAATATTGATTTTAGAAATATTACATTATTTAATCGCAATTTCAGAAATCTTTTCAAGGCGCAGTCATCTTATTCGATGATATTTGAGCGAGAAATTAATGGCACATTCTACTTTATGGTAATATCTTAATAATATTATCGTATTTTTTTTTTCAAAAGACGATTATAATGGAAATACCAAACGTGTTTCATTTCTTACAATCATACCTTTATGGTATATAGCGCTCTAATATTTACATGTAAGACATAGTCATCTTGTCATTTGTGCGATGACACTCGAACGAGAAGGTAGTAGCACGTGACGTGCAGTAATATCTTATTAATATTGTAGTAGCTTTCGAAATACGATCGTATATGTATAAAGTAAATATCGAACGTATCTCATTACAACAATCCCACTTTTGCGGCTTTTGGTTGAGTTCTGCTAACTACAAGACGTAGTTGTCTTATCATTCGTGCGACGACACTCGAACGAAAAGGTAATGATAGTGCGAGACGCTCTGTGTAATATAATAAATATATAATATCTTAGAAATATCGTGTGATAATATCTTTTGAAATATTAAATGCAACAATAAATCATGAAGTGTATTACTAAAAAATTATAGTTATAAATTATTGTTTTACTTCGATGTTTAGAGTACAACTGTAATAGAACAATTGCTTCTTTAATATTTCTTTTGGGAAAAGGAATTTGAGTAGATCGTTTTTTATATAAATATAATTTCTTAATATATTTATTTTGCAAAATTCATGTTCGAAATGTATCATCAGTGTAATAATAAATTTATTTTTTTTTTCTATAATTTCGGATGATACATCGTGTCTTAATTAATTATTTGGTTCGCGTAATATCATATTGTTTCGAAAAGAAGTTACTAATATATTAATCTCGAATTGTTCAATTATTAACAAAGTATCGCGGGTTTGCATTATAATAATAAAATTATTCTAAAATATAGATTATTTGTTAAAAATAGAGAGCAGTAATGGCATCCGCGGCAAATGGTATACTTTAATAAAATAATTTATTACTGCGTAATTTTCGAGAGTGGATTATAATTTCGCATTATGTGTAATTTTCACATTATTTTCCTGTCGCAATATAATAAAGTATGTGACACGATGATGTTTGAAATGTTATAGAAAGTGTCGTGATTGTATTTTCGCGAAATGACTGTTATAGTATCACGAAGGAAAAAGATGAACAAGAAAGAAAGAGGAAGTCCTAAAGGCATCGAGTGTCAGCGGAGCAATCGTGAGGTAATATATAGCTTATTTAATTTATTATTTGTTGTGAGTTAATTTCTCGTTTATCTCGACAATAATGATTTAATTTTATATACACATTGTGTGTAATGCATAAAATATTCTAAATTTTAGTTCAATATTTAATATAATTGATGATAGTATTTATAATAATTAATATTTTATATGTATATATTATATAAACGATATAACATTAAAAATTTGTTAATTATTTGAATAATTTAGATAAAATTTATGTAAAAATTTTTTTCTGGAAATTATATAACTTTTATAAAATATTAAGGAAGCTGAAAAAATAAATCAAAAATTTATAATTGCGAGTATTTTTTTGAAATGTTAATTATTTGCAAAATAATATTTTATACATATAATTTATATGTATTTTTTTCTTATACTACAGCTCAACTTGTATACTACAACTCCGCTGCTCATCATACCGGTGAGTGATAAATTATTTTTATTTTATATAATCTTGAGGTGATAGAGATTTGCAAAAATTATATCAAAAATATTATGTGACAATAATGTGCAGCAATAAAAATTTTAAATTAATTTATTTTAGAATTTGTTTGACATCTAAATTGACTTGTTTGATTTAATAGCTAAACATTTTTTTAATTATTTGCTTATTTGCAATAATTTTAGCAGAAGAAAAGTGTACAACCAGGCGCTTTATATATTATATGTTTGGTCTTTTATTTTTATAGTTTTTTCAATTTTATTTTTGCATTGTATTTTAACAGTTTACTAATCTAATTTTGTTATTTTATATTATCTTTTATCTTATATTATATTTTATCTATCTATATATTGCAAACAAATTGCTCATCCAATCTAAAATAACTTTTTGATCACATAATATTCTTATATAAAAAATGCTTTTTTCGGGAGGGCATATTCCTTTATTTGTTTCTATATTTTAAAAAAGGAGAAAAAAGATAATGAAAGATTCCCTCTCCGTTTGATTGAGCTTCCCCCTTTCTCTTTGTAAGACAGATAAATAAACTTACATGTGCTCGATGATAGACGGTGGTTTCACTACCTTCGTACGAATATTTTTCGGATCAGCTAAATCGGCAACATACAGTCGTACCAAAGGATTTGGCGTTCCTGGCTAAAATAAAATAATATTAAGATATAGCGCTCTTTCTTGATCTTATTAATAAAAATAGTATAAAAAAATGTGATTAAAATATAATGTATCTTTAATTTTACGCGTACCTTAGGATACCTTAATGATCGTATATCAGGATATAGAGCCTTATTTCCCTCTCCAAACCATGAAATGTGCATCTCTTCTACGAGAGAATCATTAAACGAGGCGTAAAGCATCATATGACCATCCGGTGACATCCAGATTGCTTCTCCACTATGCAATATCTCTTCTATAAATAGCATTAAAGTAAATAGATCATTATATTATCTTTTAATTATTATATATGATCATATATATGTATTTTATTTTCACAAAATTATACTCTCAAAGTTTTATTTAATTTTCTGCTTTCTCTTCCCTTTATTATATCTTCTTGATCCATTGTCTCTAAATTGCTTATATATAAAACTAAACAGAAAACTACAGCGTGTCTTACCTTCGTATAGCCAATCTGGTACGCCATTGGACAATATACCAGGTACCGCAGTATTTGTTACGCGATACCCAGTGTCGCTCATAGGAGCTGTCATATAATAAATATCGTAGTCCTGTACCATGACGAGTCCGTGTCCACTCGGAGTCCATTGCGCTAGCAGAAGATACGGGTGAACATCTTTTTCAGGATGAGGAGTTAACACAGTGCACTCTCTGTAAAGCCATTTATAGAAATTTTTAAATGTCATGTGATTTAAAAAGACTTAATTTAATTAATAATACACATTAAAGGAAAATTATCATCGTTATACATTAATGAAACATTAAACGATACTATAAATAATCAAACGTTTATCCGTGTGTATATAAATTACACTGACCGTGACTTGACGTCATAAATGACGTACTGAGCTAGATACGAATAACGAAATAATTTCTTCACATTTTGAGCAAGAAGTAAATATCGATGATCCGGTGATAAGGAAAATTTTACTGGATTCAGTCGTCTCTGTAAAGTTTTTTAAATGTTTATCTCCTGACAATTAAATTGAAAATTGATGGCATTCTTAGGTAAATACTCACAAATGTTTCATTCGGCATTAAACTATGCGACACAATGTTTGCACCCGAAGCATCCAACAATGAAATACCACCCCAAGTATCTCGGTAGCATATATGACAATCACTCGCCCAGGATCCATTAAATAATAAGGGAGATAATTCTCCGGAAAGCACCTACAAGACGTATCTCCGAATCAATCTAGTTTATTCTATTTTTATTTAAGAATGTGCTGATTGGTGCGGAAAGAGATATTTTCGTCATTTTATGATTATGTACATATATATGTGTATTTCAAACACTTAATTAATATAGACACAAATGAAGTATTATTTTATTCTTTGTATTACAGAAAATTCTTTAGCTCTGTATTTTCTCACATTTTCCCAGAGATTAATTTTAATTAAATATTGATACAAATTGTACGCTTTACTCACCTCGGAGAGTCGTAATCGCGATCCTCGTACTCTGGGGCCGTCATCGGGAGGTGTAAGCAAAGCGACAGATGTAACGATAAGGGCTAGGACCGCGACGATCACGAGCAACGCGATTAAAATCCCACGCCAATTCCTTTGATTTGGATTGGCTGAAACTAGCTCCTATCACAAAAATTCTTATTAACGTTAATGTCAAACTATTAAATTAATGTGTGCTGTGTAACATGCACTTAAATTCTTTTTTATAGTTGCAAAAATATATAAAAATGTATAAAAAAATAATGCATCAACATATAATAAATGCAAATTTTCATCCGATATAATGTCAAAATAATATAATTAATTAATAATATTAATAATATAATTATATATATATATATATATATATATATATATATATATATATATATATATATATAATAAGATTAATTAAAGTGCGAAATATTTTCTCATAATACAAGGAATGCTATAATTTTATAATTCTACAATTTAATATCCAACTAACAAGAAAATAGATTATTAGAACCAATCGCAGTTAGCAAAGTGCAGTTTTTTTCTAATAAGAATTTATTGATTAATTCTATAAATGTACGTTTTGGTCCCTTAGACTATCAACAGCAAGTGAATCAAGCTCAAAGATATATGTATATACGACCTTCAAAAATAGCGTCACAAAGATCGGAATACAACTAGAATTAGTTGTGCTTGGATGATGGGTCTATTCGGATACAATAATTTCGGAACAACCTTAGCCAAATAATTATTTTCTCAACAGCTATAACCGGAAGAAGACTTGTCGCACTCAGTCGTAAAGATCGATTTAAATTTTTGAAGATCATATGCACAGCCTTTAACCTTTGATTTACTTGCTGATGCATGGTCCAATACAGAGATTGAAAAATATACATTTATAGAAATAATCAATAAATTTTCACTAAAAAAGAAAAAGAATTTGTGTGCTAACCGGGTCTGATTCTTGATAGCCCATTTTTCTGTCAATTGGATATTCAATATGCATGTATTAAAGCCTTATACTTTGGGGTTTTTGAATCTACAATTTAATTTAGAATATAATATCATATTTTCCAGAATTTAATAATGTCAAAACTTTTTATACACCCGGCACAAAAATATAAAAATAATACACAACTTAAACGATATGAACATTAACATGATGGAATATTATTAGAAGATTCACATGTCTTTTACGACATCTTTAACGTGTTTGTGTTGGCTCGTAAACAAAAGCAGGTAACAAAATGGATTAGAATATGAGTATTAGATCATCGACAGAATAATTTATAAAGGAATAGTTGAGAACAAAAATCGCGGTATAAAAACGTCTCTATAAATACATTTATATCATCCTTTTTAGGTCAAATACTTGAGAATATTGTTGAAAATCGCTGACTTGATGACGCTGATCGCGTGTAGATAAGAGTCAATTACAAGAGTTTTGTGTTTCACAGCGAAAGCTAAAATCTAGTCAGCTGCTGTAGCTAAAATCGATAGAGAGAAGCGATGTACTGCGCTGTGCGTCAACGAGTTTAAGAGACGAACGCGTATCAATGTCGTGCTCTTAAGGAAATCGATTTATTTTAATAATAAATTTAAAATTCTGACGAGTCTAATTTTTTATCTTGTAGAAAATTTGACAAATTATATATTATAAGAATTTATCAAAATCATCTTTTCAGTAATACACCGTATATAAGACCGTCAAATAATTATTAAACAGTAATCTAAAATTATATCACACGGTACCGCATTCATTTATATTAATCATAATCAATATTTCTCTATATAATTCTTAATGTAAATAATATTTACTGTAAAATATAATCTCAAAGTTACTCATCTGATGTGATATTAAGCGTTTTAATTAAGTAATTTTCTAAGTTATTTAGTGTGTTGTACATGAATTAAAAAAATAGCATAATATTTTTGCAAATAATGTATAATGATTTTACGGTATTATAATATAATGATAGCATATATACCCCATATAATAACTGCTGCTGCATAAATTAATATCTATTATTTAAAAGAAAAATGTACTTTGTGCACTATCTATTTGTGGAAATTAAATCATCTATTTATCTCATCATCTCGCGTGTATTGATAATACTTGTTGCTGCTAAACCGCACTTGCCATTTTTAACTAGCATCCACGAGAGTTAGTTGAAATAATATTAACTTACAAAAAACAAGAAAAATTATAAATGAAATATAATCGTTTTTTTATGTCCACATTTTTTGCAAGAAAATCTGCTTCTCATAATCGTATGCAAAAATTGAGAAATCACAAATAAATGTATTTACTTTATTTATTATTAAAATGTATTTAAAATTAGCAAATTAAAAACATTGCACGGATATATTGTGTGACGTATGATGGTAATTATGACTTAAGGCTTAATTAATTACCTCGTCGTCGTAAATGTTATCGTGATCTGCCATCGGTGGTGCGAATCGAACACTCCGCGACTTTCTCTGGACCTGAGCAGCGAAACGACGCGGCCTTTACGTTTATCCCATTCGCTGTTGTTAGTAATTTCTGCAAATTATAATTCACACACTCATTCACTACTCCGAATCTACAGTGAGATCACGTAGTTTGACAGCTACGAATCACTTGTGCCGTACGAATTTTCAATACTGAGCGAAAGCTAATCCCTTCCGAGAGATGTTGCGGACGTAGAGTCTGCGCATTCGATATTGGATGCTGCGCTATAGAAAGAAAGAGAGAGAGAGAGAGAAATAGGAAAAAAGAGGAAGAAAGAAGGGGTGATAAGAGGGAGAAAGATGATAAATCGAGAGAGAAGATAATAAAGGGAAAAAAAGATAGAAGAGGGTGCGAGGAAAGAGGAGAGCGAGAAAGAATTTATTTTTATCTTCTCTGAGGATTAAAAAATCAGTATGTAAGAGTATATAAAATAATAATTGCTACAATTAAATAATAGTATAAGGATTAAAATAAATAAAAATGTACGCGAATATAAAACACACTGAGAAAAAAAGTTGTTAACTCAACTAAATTATTTAACTATAAATACTATTTAAGTTAATTGAATCTATAGAAGTATTTAAATTAAATACAACATATTAAATTTAATATAATGTGTATTTAACTTAAATACTTAAATATATGTACAATTAACAAAATAGTAATTAGTTGAATAATTTAGTCAAGTTAACAATTTTTTTCTCAGTATGTTATTACAAATAAAGTATTTAAAAATTATATTTAATATATATAACAAATATAATGAAAATTTATAGGAAGAAAAATTTATAGGAAAAATAAAGTAACTTATTAGACGTGCAGACAATAAATATAATAAATTTATATATATATATATATATATAAAACTACTTTTACATATATATATATATATATATATATATATATATATATATATATATATATATAACAAAGCTTATATCCCGCCATAACGATATTAAATCGAGAATTGAAGGTAAATAATTTCAAAAGTTAAGTTTATAATGCAATTAAATATGTAATATAATACTGATATATATATATATAGTGAATTTTAAGAATGTTTTTACTTCAGCTGTGTATGTATTAATATATATATATATATATATATATATATATATATATATATATATCTTACTATTAAATAAATATATATATATATCTCACTATTAAATAATAAATATATATATATATATATCACTATATATATATATATATATATATATATATTATATATACACATATGTAATATGTATATTACTCATCTGTGTGTAATTCTTTCTCAAATTACATATATGTAGTAAAAATTTTTCTTTATAATGAGAAATAAAAAAAGGATAAAAATTAATAAAAATACATTTTTAAGAACTGCTTCTTTATAACTTTTTATATTCTTCAATTTTTTCTATTTTTTTTACTGAACATATATATATATAATATATATATAATGCGTAATTGGAAAAGGCCCAGAACTCCTAAAATATGACGAGCATAGCATAGTAATTAACTCCTTAAAATGCGACGCGCATATATAGTATAGTAATTAACCCATTTTTTTCCCGTCAATATAGATAGATAGAATTGAGAAATAATATACTATATATATATATATATATATATATATATATATGCTCTCCAATCAAAGAAGAGTAATCTCTTCTCGTGCAATAAAAAAAGCAATTATGTGAAATTGCCTCGGTTAATTATGGTAGATCACGCAGAAGTAGTGCATATCTAAATTAATTACAAATAAGGAATGATTCTGGACATATCATAGATAAATTGAAAAAAATTCCACTATTTTTATAATATATATATGAAACTTTCGCAACTCACACTCAATTAAAATAATGCATTTGTATTTCAAAACATCATCAATAATAATTAAGGGTCAATTTCATTAAAGTCAACTGCAATCTCCGATTAAATATCTTTATCTCTAAGAATATATCTAAAAAGAGATAAAAATATATATATAGTTGTAATCGGAGATTGGAGTTATATATATAGTTAACCGCCGTTGATGAAACTGGCCCTAAAATGAATTTGTAAATAAGCAATAACATATAAATAAGAGAACAAATAAGAATTATAAAACAAAAGTATGAATCTCAAGAATAAAAATAAAAATTAAATTAAATGAATAAAAAATGTACAAAAAAAATTGTACATCCGCACGCGCGCGCGCATGCATGCATGCATCCAATGCATTTATTATGTGCACACATATATACACGCACATATATATTAATCATATAATTAGTTCTTATATTAAATTATATACATCATGCAATGACAAAATTCGTGCATAAATTCAAAATATATTTAAAATTAAAAGATTTACTCAGCACCCGAGCGGCGACACGCGCAGTTTCACGGAGCCGCAGCTTTGATCACGTGACTGATTTTTAGTTCACTCATAGTCCGAATAGTGGTGCTGAAACTGGTCTCACGCTCGCGGAGAAGAACTGCGCTGCTGCGCGTTTCCGAGTCAACACTGGTGTCAACACTTTGTTGACTTGTCAAAAAACTCCAAAAGTGAATTGTCAAAAGCAAAAAAATTTTGCTTTATTTTTCATATTATAATATTTGCTTTATTATATTATATGCATTATGACGTATATAGTATAATGTATGTGTATAAATCCTGCAACATTTAAGATAATTACGAAGTTTAATTAATTATAATTACTTTGTGTGTACAACAATAAGTGACAAGAACGATGTCGGCATCAGAATCATTAGCAATTGTCCAATCGAAATTTGTCTCTGGGGAGACTGTCGTAACGGTATTCTTTTTCTCAACTTAATAAATAATGGATATAATATTATATAATATTAATTAATCATCATGGATTAATGGCAATCAACCATTGATCAAAACCCTTAGAAATTACAGTCAGTTATAAATAGTTGTCATCAGTAACTTGATATTATTATTAAAATCATATTGTAGGCTACAGAAGCATCCTTAATACAAGGTTGGGTAAAATCTTCAAGATATATTGCTCTTATTTACAAAGGCACGACTCATGCTTTAGCAATATTTCTTGCTTCAAAAACACCTCCACAAGTGTATAGTGATCTTACTCTAGAAGGAATATTACCTATTGATCAAGATTTTAAGTGTGGTATAGGTATGTATTGAGATTTTTCTGAGATATTAAATGTTATTAATTTTACTTAAATTTGTGCAGTTTATGGATATTTAAATAAATAACTCTTTAGCTGTAATTGAATCTCATCAACTTTTTATTATTAAGATACCAATGGAGATACACAAGATGGTCTTGATATATATATGAATATTACATCAAGAAAACTTCGTCTAATATTTGAAATGAAACTTGGAGAAGCAACCAGCTCATTAGTATCAGAAATATTTCGTGCAATAGAAGGTATATATGTGGATATTATATATACAATACATAATTCTTATTCAAAAATTATTTGTCTATAAAATAAAATAATTATGATTTTAGTATATCAGACAGGTAAAAGTCCTGCAGCAGAATTTTCATGGATTGAGAAGCTAACGAGAAGTACAAGAAATTTAGCTTCTACTGATAAAGATACACAGGATGCCGATTCTGTAAATTAACAAAAATTAATGTTACACAAATATGTAAATTGACTTATAAAATTTCAGGCTTTATAAAAATATATTATTTTTCTAGTTACTCAATCTGGAAAGCAATGATTTAGTAGTACGAAGGCAATGCTTTGCCTCGGGTAAATCCCCAATAGCTGCAAGAGAATCAGTAGTACGTTATCAGATGGCCTGTAAAGAAGATGATTACACATATAGCAAAACATTTCGGTTTGTTGCATTGCATTGTTATAAAAATTTTATTTCACATATTCTTTTATTTGTTTCAAAGATATATGCTTTAGATTACCATTAATAATTACAGTATATTGACTTGTACATGGAATGTCAATGGACAACCACCAAATGGTATTAAATTAGATCAATGGTTGAGTACAGATGAATTGCCACCAGATATATATGCTATTGGATTTCAAGAATTAGATTTAAGTAAAGAAGCATTCCTATTTCATGAAACTCCCAGAGAAGAGGAATGGAGGTATATTATATTAAAGATAAAAGTATAGTGTTACATAATGCATGCACATATACACAAATAGTATTTAAATATTAATACAGCCACATATATACACAGAGAAATTAAATATATATAATAATATATGAAAATATAAGAATAAAAATTCTATTACAGACAAGTAATAGTTGATTCGCTTCATCCCGGAGGTGTTTATGTCCAAGTTGCTCTTGTCAGATTAGTAGGCATAATGCTACTAGTATATGCACTTGAAACTCATATGCCATTCATTGAAAATGTATCTACTGATACAGTAGGAACAGGCATTATGGGAAAATTGGTGAGAAAATTTTTTACAATACTTCTACAATGCTTAATTCAATGCTTTTAATCTTCACACTTGAATACTTCATTGCTTATACTTATAGGGTAATAAAGGTGGTGTAGCAGTAAGTTGTTGCATTCACAATACGTCCGTTTGTTTTGTTAACGCTCATTTAGCGGCGCACTGTGAAGAATTTGAACGACGTAATCAGGATTATGCTGATATTTGTGCGAGATTATCTTTCACAAAATATGTTCCACCTAAAAATTTTAAAGATCACGAGTAAGTTTTTGTATATATCATACATTAGTTATAAATGCACACACATTAATTATATATATATATATATATATATATATATTTATATAATTATATATAAATTATGCTATAAATGTTATTGCTTATATTAGTTTATTATTTCAAATTTATTTACAACTTATAATTTGTGGTATATTAAATCATATTAATATCACAGTCAGATTTATTGGTTGGGAGATTTAAATTACCGGATAACAGATATGGATGCTACAGTGGCTAAACAGTACATTTCAGAAGGCAACTATAGTCCTATCTTAGCATTAGATCAGCTTGGACAACAACGCAAAGTAGGACGTGTGTTTCAAG